ACATATCCGTATGTTTACAAAGCCTTCCGCCTGGTTCGTCAAACGTGTTTCATTGACAAACCCAAACAGATAGGCATTCAGTCACTGTTGATCTGCTAGTTCAAATCGTATACATCTATTTTCGGCTACTCAGAGTCACCGTAAATTATTCATTCCATCAGAATACGTAATATCGTGATGAGCCGCCTAATATTCATGCATTAGAAATTCTGCCAATTCAAATTTGTTTAAATAGCCTTTGATGATAAGTCACTATTAAGTTTACGCGGCATTATTTCTATTCGTCAGAGAAACAGAAATCTTCAATGTCCAATGTTAAACGACAAGATAAAAAAAAAGCACTATTCATTTTAAATGAAATACCTTCTAGAACATAAATTCATGAAGAAAAATAAATTGTATTCAGAAAAATGAACAACCAACTAGTCAGTGTACATTTAATTTTTTTTGTAGTTAATATTGTATTTTCTAACATTATTAACTACAACAATTCATTGTGTTATTAAATAGATTGAGCTAATACAACACAGAAAATTCAACTAGAAACAACATTTTCTCTTTAATTTATTAGAAATTAGTAACAGAATAGAATAGAAGAAGAATACAAGAGTATTAGAATAGGGTGATTCAAAGAAGAACAATGGGGGCGGGGGGAGGGGCTGAAGCAAAAAATCAACAAGTTACATATACCTCCTCCTCTCCACCAGACTTACATGAAGAAAAATTTAAAAAAAATACAATGGACCAATTCAAAGTAAATGCTATAGACACAAGTAAGTAAGTACACTTGAAAAAACACATTGTTGATATTACATCATCATAAATACAATTTTATAAATATATCTATCTATATATATATATATATAAAGTACAGTTCCATAGGATCACAGACAAGCGAATTTTTCCAGTTTACTCTTTTTAAAGAATTTTATCTTGAAAACTATAATATTATCATTATGAAATATAAATAACCTAAGATTATTTAAATAATTTAAACTAATATTTAAAATGTTACACAGAAAAATAAAACAAAAACAAAAAAAGGAACTACAAAGAGGAATTTTACTTTTTTCACTCAATGAATAAATGCAATATTGAACAGAGATTAGTTCTAAAAAATAAAGTAAGCAATTAAGAAGAAGAATAATGAGAAGAGAAGAGAAGAGAAATGTGAGAGAAAAAAAAACCTAGTAAAATTATAATTCAACTTATTTATAATTGTTTCATTGATACATAATTGATTAAATGCTCTGGTAATGGTAAACGATTCGCTTTAATACGTAATGAATCAACTGAACCAAGTGAACGTTGTATCACTACACGACATATATGTTTCAATGAATGTACATTACATTCTTCCCAATGTAACCATTGAGCTAATTCATCATCACCATGTATACATTCTTCCGGTATAATACCATGTACTAATAACCAACGTGTAAAACTTGCTAAATTCACTGGATCACATCCATAATTTAATAATAATTTCACCATTGGTATATCTAATTTAGGAAATTTCACTGCCATATGCAATGGACCGAGGCCTTCACGATCAACACAATTCACTGATGCACCAGCATCTAATAATTTACGAGCTAGTGTTAAATGTCCATGTAATACAGCAACATATAATGGAGTTTTACCATTTTTATCAGCTGCATTCACATTAGCACCGGCTGTTAGTAGAAGATCGACAATTTCTAATCGTCCATGATAAGTAGCTACATAAAGTGGTGTTTTACGATGTGAATCCATTTGATCAACCTTTGAACAAAAAAAAAATGAATATGAAAAACGAAATTGTTCGATTTTTTTCGTTTACATAAAAACAAGTGGAATTTTATATGCTTTATTTAAAAAATAAGGAGATAAATTGTGTTAGCCTATCGTATATATATATATATATATATATATATATATATATATATATATATAAGCTTTCTATGAGCAAGCCTAATTTAGTTACTTCAGTGAGAAGTGACCTTTCATTGAACAAAAACAGTATAGAAGATACAGTGACATTTTCATATGGTGGGTGGTGTATGTTCTGTTCCTTAGAAAAGAAAGTCAAATTTTCACCAATAGAATTCATTCATCATCAGGCTTATATCGGCTTGGTGGAGTGTTACGCACTCATTATGACACCTGAGGATCCTCAATCCTCACTACTGAACATTCCCGTACTTGTGTAATGGATGCTCCTCACAAAGTGTCATATAAATAGTATGCAGCGGAGAGCCGCTCAGAAGTTGTCCATCAGAGAAATTTATGACGCGATCAGAGTATGTTGGAGACAATAAGAAGTTTGAAAGACAGTCAGTCAATAACCCGGTTTTCATCCACTCAATTTTGTAAGCAACTTCAAGAAGGCAGTGAGGAGAACATCTGTGTTAGCGGCTATATACGAGTGGTCAATTGAGAACTTCTGTAGAACTTTCTCCACTACTAGCCGTACCAGGGCATTTGGCGCTGTTATTTTATGTATTGGAGTTGTAGCAGCATATCAAGTTGTTCTGCTTGAATATTACATTTCTCCTACATTGTATATTCATCCTGTGTTAGCAATGAACTGTTGAGGTGTTATGTGCCAGATAGCATTGCCAATGCTGCGATTGAACCATTCACACTAGAATAGCTTGGTTGTTCTTTAATTTCGCAATTAAAGTAGGTCAACCGGAAAACCCAATACATTAATCGTTCCAATCAAAATAATGCACTAACAATCAGGTCTTAATTGATTGGAGAGTAAGTGACCTACATAATGATTCTCTTCGATAGCCTATGACAATTTACCATGATTAGTTTTATGTCAGTCAACAAGCATGTTATTTAATGCGAAACAAAATATTTTTTTCTGATTAATGGTCTTGTGTTTTGATTTAAAATCATTTGAAGCTGTACATCGATTAATTCAGTGTCATTTGGTTACATCGCCTACGATCGATCGCTCAAGATTCTAATCGCCGATTTTAACAAAATTGTAATTCAGAAAAACACTGAATCCAATCAACAACCTACACAATTAGATAAATATATTTTTCGCTTTTAAAATGAGACAAACGTAAAACGATAATCTGAATCAAGAAAATAATTTACCTGTGCACCATGACGTAATAAAGCATTGGTAATTTCTAAATAACCAAAATAAGCGCTAATATATAAAGGAGATTTATTTTCTTTATTAGTAATATGTATATCAGCTGAATGACATAGTAAATAATTGACAACTTCACAATGTCCACGACATGCTGCCAGATAAATTAAAGTTCGACCATATTTATCCTAGAAGATGGAAGACAGATAGAGAGAGAGAGAGAAAAACGAAAAAAAAAAAACATTAGATGAAAAATAAATCATTCATTTATTGATGATTAAAGAAATATTTGTTTCAAATAAATTCACATCTGGATTCTTCAACTTTGTAAACTTTTCCCACTGAATCATACTTCTTGAATAATATCTTCTAATCCTAACCTCTCCGATTACTTCTAATTCCCTTACTACCTCTTCTACTATTGGATTTGAATTGACAATTACTTCTCTGTGCTGATATGGTATGGCGACATGAACTGATGTACTTACGTATGAAGTTCTACGTTGCATCTGACTGACTGAAATTCACATCAGATTTTATAGATGAATAATAATAATAATAATAATAATAATAATAATAATAATCCGAAAAGAAGTGAACAGAGGTTAACGTGAAATAGTATGAATGAAGCTAGAATTGTTTGTACAACAAATTTCTTTGAAATCATGAACTAATTATTGTTAGACCACGAATGAAAACCTGGAAGCAGTAGACGTCGAATTCGTCCAGTGCTTCGAATGGTGGTCTAACATGGATATCAGCTCATTATTTTATTGCAACTTAACAATTTTCACACTAATGACTAGCTAAGTGAGGAAATTCTCGGAGTTCTAGTGAGAAGCCGTGAACAGTGAAGTTTAACTGTGTCAAGTGTGAAGCAGTTATCTATCGAAGATAATAGATAATGGTCGAATAATATTGTAGATTTATTGAAGTTAGATATTAACACTGTTAGATACCGACTCAGTGGTTTAGCAGCTATGTGTTCACGTGCGAGACTCAAGCTCTCAAAGTCGATTTCCTCGTGTGTGAATACTCACTGCTGATAAGTCCTATACTAGGATAAAACCACCGACTAGTGTTCCCAATTTTATTATGGTGATCTAACATTGGTCGGTTTATGATTTTAATGAAACTCAACAATTTTCAAAACCGTGTACTGACAATAAAATAAAATTGTTGATGTCGAATTGATTAATTTACAATGTTAATAGTTCATACGTTGAATGAAATTATGACATTAATGACGAAAGGATATATCTGAATCAGATTGGATGAGAGAAACAATAATAATAATAATGCAGTCACTGAATTCAATCGAATGTTTAAGTGGATAATACGATATGTGTCATGAGGCAAGCCCTAACATGGAATCCTTGGGGTCAACAAAGTTCGACAAGCTGAACTAATATACACATAAGCCAAGTTCTGCGTTCAGTTTGACCGACCCAGTGAGGTCACGATAACAAACAGTGCTTTTGTTCTACTGAACTTACAAACCTTCAGCGGATGAAGGTAAATTTTAGCTTTAAAGAATGCACGTACGAACGCATACACGTATATATATATATATATATATATATATATATATATATATATATATATAACATTACGTACTTGAACATTTAATAATTCTGGATTTGAAAGACGACTTGTAGGTGGCGGCGGTACTGTTGCCCCTCCTACCATTGACAATTGAACATTCATATTACTATTACTATTGTTAGTGGGACCAACTAATCCAGGAGTATTTAATGATGAAATAATTGATGTAGAGAGAAGACATGATAAACGAGCATTAGATGTAGTTGTAGTGGTAGCCGTTGTCGTCATCACCATAGTAGCAGTAGTAGTCGGTGTTGTTGTAGTCGTTACATTATTACACGATGTTATTGGATGAACACGTTCCATAAGATAACGTACCATATTTAATGAACCAACATAACATGCATGGTGTAAAGCAGTCATACCGACTTTATCAGTTAATGAAAGATTTGAACCAGCATTCACTAAAGCTATCGCCATATTCAAACCACTTGAACCAGCTTCTGCTGCAATCATTAACGGTGTCATACCTGAAAAATAAAGATTAGTCAATGAGAAAAGAGAAAACAAAACAATTCACATTTTTTATTTAGAGTTATGGAGATCATTCTTTTTACACACTGAAATAATGAATCGATCATAGTCGTACAATGTGCTCACTGGTAACTAACTTCGTGAAGAAATTCTCGGAATTTTAGAAAGATGTGGCCAGTGGAGTTCAACCCTGTTGTGTAGACAGTAACCAACGAAGACAAATGGGTGAGGTCACGCACACTGCTGATGGGTCCTATACCATAACGAAACGGCCGTCCTTGTTTCCAGGTTTCTAATAGCCGTCTAATGACTGATTCATGAGTTCAATGTGTAAAAACAATTCATGTTTATAGGTAACTCATTTGGAAGAAGGGAGGGGCAGAGAAATAAGTACAAGTCAACAACAACCTTCTTGTAAATATATATATATATATCATATAGAAGACAAATTATAATGGCTTTTGCATAACTTAACTCTACTTGGAGCCACTTTAAAACTATTGTCAGTCTAAGATTCGATTAATGCCCATGGTATAGGTTTATTAAATGAAGACGCTCACAAAATGCAGTCTTCTGACCGCCCAAAGAAACAATGCAGGCATGTTCAAGATGCGATTCTGCTCCTGAAAATGCAAAATGTTGCTTCGAGATTGACTTACATCGGCAACTCAACTAGTGATAGGGAGTGAAGTTGTTGAGCATGCTGACGACTTCACTTATTTTGAGTTTCATGACCTGGTGAATGACAAAATCTCAGCACGGATACAGAAGGCTTAATTGGTTTTTTGCCAACTTGCATCACTTATGGCGTAGGCGAGATATCCAGCGACTAACCAAAGGATAAATCTACTGAGTATCAGTTCGCTCCATCCTACTACACGGATGTGCAACAGGGCCACTAAGAGTAGAGGATATTCCTTGGGTTATAAGTATTCGATCATAGGTGTCTTTGAAGCATTGCTCGAATCTCCTGTGACCACCGAGGAGGCAAAGCTGTTGTTAAGAAACGGGTAATATGTAAGGATGGCAGGTCAATAGATGAAGTAGTGAATCTTCATCAGTTGAGATGGTTGCGATATGTGTTTCGTATGCCCAACCACAAGCGATGTTGTCTGATGTCGGATTAGGCTGGAAGAGAGCTAAAGGTAGACAAATCAAAGTATGGCACAAATCTGTGAAGTCACTGACAACTTGACTGAGCCATGTTTGTAGGTGTAGACTACCTGGCTGGAGTCCGCGAAACAATCGTAACCAGTGATTAGAGACTATGAATGACATGGCTAAAAATCGTTTGCGATAGTGTAGATAAATCCATTCTGTTTTCTCCAAAAATTTCAATCTTCTGAATCCCTCATAACCTTTATCTTTTTAAATTTATTCTACTGATATCTTCGGTCACTAATCTTTTCCATTACTTCTACTACCTCTATCCCTGTGTGATAATGTGATATGGCAACTTCAACTGATGTACATATGTACCTGGTTCTAAGTTGCAGCTGACTAACTGAACCTCGATTTTATATTCAGAACACAATCTGCCTTTACGGTTGAAAAGAATTCCAATCAAAGCCTATTCTGAATATATATGCTGCTTCAAACAACAATCTTTTATTAACTTACGGCTGGAAAAATTATTTATGACAGAAATTTCTTAGTAATATCATCGTCTACCGGAGCAAAATAGAATTTATGAATGGGGAGAATTGATGCTTACTGAAAAGCGATTAGAAAAATAACGCACAAAGATGAACAGCAGAAAAAAAAACGAGGAATGTACAATTACAAAACACAGTTATTTACCAATCTTATCTGGTCGATCTATATCTAAACGTGGTCGTAGTGTACCGGAATTCGACTGTTGACCATTTTTAGGATTGAGTGGGAGTTGTGTTGTTTGTGATGCTGAATAATAATTATTATTATTGTTACTATTATTGTTATTATGATTGATGAGTGTAGTTTTTCCAAGTATACGTTGAACTCGATCACAACTTTGCCACCAACGAGCCACATCTATATACACAACAACAAGGTTAAGAAGAAATAACCACATGAAGCAATGAATTTTGTGTGGGATAGGATCATGTGTATGGGTGCCAAAGACAAAGCAAGTAGGCTTATTAAGGGAAAACTCCCTAAGCCTATTACATACAGGTCGAATCCACAAGGCGGTGAAGCAAAGTCAAGAAACGCAGTACCATTGTAAGTTAATATGCCGTTTCTTGCATCAATATCTTGGGGTCCACGTGCACCATTGGTCTGGAATCAGAGTTTCTCAACTTCCTTACGTAGATCCTTTGCATCCGCCAACTCAGTTTAAGTCCTGACTCGACATTCTATTTTCGTCTTCTCAATTCCGCAAACCACAACTTTTATGCTAGAAGGAAGAGAGTAGAACCTCCCTAATAGTGGTTATATACGCGAGGCGGTATGAGAGCATTTGGAGAGAGGGGGTGGGACCTTCTCATTCTTTCGTACCAGGGCATTTGCAGATTATCCATAATACATATCACAACTATTGAGCCGTTGCAGATTTACAGCCTCACCCATCGATTTTTAACCTTTGCCCAACAACATCTGTAAGTTAGATCCTACTATCCTTATGACCGACCAACTTTCGCAATTATAAGAAACAAAGAAGGGTTTTGTTAAATAAACAATAAATTAAAAATTCACTCTTACCACTTGGATTACCCACACTATGACATCGTTGACAATTTTCTGGTTTACGAACAATAACAACTTGTGACAAATTAGAACTACCACTGTAAATTGATTTAACAATACGTTGTGTATCACCACTATTATTACAACCATTTGATTCGGAATTTAAAAATCTATGATGTTTTCCACTTAATCTTAAAATACAAGAACGTAAATTAATTCCATTGGAATCATATTCTAATTCAGTATCATGATCATCGGATATTTTAATTGGTTTTGTTCGTATTAATTGAGATGATAAAATATGCCGATCACCAATAAATGGTTTTGTATGATTTGCAGTGAATATTGAATGTAGATTAACTGAAGCGGCAGATGAAGCACGCGGTGGTACAGCACAATCATTTGATATGATACCACGAAAAATTGTGCTAGTAGCTGAAGCGAGTGTAAATCGAGAAGCTGCAGAATTCGATGATTTTGAAGATGGTGTTCGAAGAGCCGACGGTGCAACACGACATTGTTCATCAATTGGTTGAGTTTCCAATGTGATTGAATTGGTCATTGTCACTGTTGTTGTTGTGTTGTTTTTTCGATGTTGTTCACGAAATTGTTGGTCAGCTCGAATGAGAGCAATTAAAATTAATTCTCTACGATCTTTGACAGCAGTTAATAAAGGTGTATCTAAATCACGACTGCATATATTGACATCAGTTGTTTCATGCTTTCAAACGAAAGAATAATATAAGAAAACATATAATCAGTTAGAGAAATGGTTTATAAGTTTGAAATGGTAGAAACCGGACTAGATTTTTAAAAACAGCTCAGTCAGTCAGTTGCAACGTAGAACTTCGTACGTAAGTACATCAGTTCATGTCGCCATACCACATCAGCACAGAGATATAATTGTCAATTCAAATCCAATAGTAGAAGAGGTAGTAAAGGTATTAGAAGTAATCGGAGATGTTAGAATTAGAAGATATTATTCACGAAGTACGATTCAATGAGATAAGTTTAGAAAGTAAAAAACTAGAGGTGTTGAAGAACTCAGAAGATTAGGATTTGAGAGAACACAAAGAATAAATGCACCGGCGCCATTGCGAACGATTTTGAGCCATGTCATTCAAGGTCTCTAACCATCGATTATTATCATCTCGCGGACCCCAACCAGTTAGTCGACAATTACCGACATGGCTAAGTCCACTCGTCAATGACTTCATGGATTTTTGCCATGTTTTGGTCTGGCCGCCCCTAACTTTCTTCCAACCTATTCCTACACTACAAAACAAAGCTCGACGAGGCAGTCGGTGGTTAGGCATACGCAACACATGTCCCAACCACCTCAACTGATGAAGTTTCACCACTTCATCTATTGATCTGCCATTCTTACCTAGTACCCGTTTCCTAATAACAGCGTTGCTCACTCGGTTGTCCCACGATATACGAGCAATGCTTCGAAGACACCTATGATCGAAAACCAATAACCGACGAGTATCTTCTACTCTCATTGGCCATGTTTCACAGCCATAAAGTAAGACGGAGCGAACCACTGCGCAGTACACTCGTCCTTTAGTCAGCAAACGGATATCTCGCCTACGCCATATACACTCAGCTTTAAGTGGTATGCTTAAAAATGAAGGTGAATCGTACTACCCGGTTGATTTACGTGTCTATTACCTATCGCCAACCTTAGACCGTTGACCAGAATTCTAGAGCCCACTTTATTACGGGACGTCTTTTCTAGTTGTTCACAAGCACTACTAATTTTTCCGATGTCTGCCTCTAGTTTCCGAAGCAATGTATTCTCACGTTTGTCTCTTTTCCTATTGCTTGAAGATTCCTTGTTAAAGCTTGCTTTGTGATGGAGTTTGGTGAATTTAACAATTTGTATCCTACTCACCTAGTATCTTTCCTTGATTTCCTCTTCAGCTGGGAGCTGGATTATTTTCTGCGACAGTAGGTTTGTTGCTTCTGGAGTACGGCCAGTAGATCTAAAGTATCCTGCGTAGACAACTGTTTATAAACACCTGCATCTTTTGAATAATGGTGTGTTGAAAATTCTCAGTTTGGTATTGGTTGACTGTTTTTTCTTAGTTCTGGATGTTTTTTTCATTTTGGGAATGTTACCTTTGATTTACCCATCCGTGCCTACTACTCGATTACTAGGACTAAAATAAGTATTTCAGGATTCGGACCTGTGACTAATTGGCTCAAACGTTTAAACATTCTAATCATTAGGATACAATTATGCTAAATGTGATGGATACGAGCGCATACATCAGGTGACTTTAAGTTACATATTTTCGTATAAAAATAAATCTTCTCCTAAATATGATAGAAAAACTGCTGATAAATAATTTATCATAAAAACAAATATATGTAGTTAAAATGGAGGTTCCTGACTAAAACAAACGTACATCCGTCATAAAATTGAGGAGAATAGCGCACCAAAAGTCCTAAACAAGTCTGTTACCTTTAAACTATAAAGTAAGTGGATGATAATTTGAGATTTCATAAGACAGAACTAATTACATTAAAACAAAAGACAGCTTCATTATTTTGATGTGTATAATCTTTAATAAAACTTAAAAAATGTGTTATGTTTTTCTACTGTTTACTATTCCTTAGATATTAAAGATCATTTGACCATTCGGTCTCTAAGACCAACACTAATCTACCTTCTTTTTCAGGTCCCTTAAGATTGATTGGACTGATCTGATTGCTTACCTAATCAGAAGAATTGAGAGTGAATTATGTACATGTATGAGTTACATAAACATAAACATAGTATTTTCTGAACTCATCAGTTATAACTGATCGGTTGAACATGAACTAATCAGCGTGTTCTGATTCAAGACACGTTAAACCGAGTAGTTAGAACTCTATTCTAGTAACAATCGTTAAGTCCATGCATCTTGATCGAAAGTGAGCAGTGAGTCTCTTTTAAAAAAAAAAACCCATTTAAAATACATGACGTGCTTAACTCAACATGCTTCAAAAATTTATCTTTTACAGACGGAGAACATCAAAATGATCTATTTTTATTAATAGAGAGGATTTACGGAGATCTTATTTTCATAGTTGAAATCACGAAGTGATCTTAGCTAGACCATCGCTATAAACCTGGAAGCACTGAATGGCCGTTTCGTCCTAGTGTGGGACTCCTCAGCAGTGCATATTCACGACTCCAGTATGCAGGAATTGAACCAAAGACCTTCCTTATCGAACACAAATCCTTAACTTTCAAACAACTGAGTCGGCATCCGATAGTGTTTTTGTTGTCTAAATTCTACTAATCCATGATGTTGCACAATTCTCATCCATTGCCTGCAATAGATAACTGTTTTTAACCCGACACGGACTTAACTCCATTGGTCACGACAATACTGTTTTACATGGAACAAACTATTATTCACATCATAACGACTTATTTAGTTCGATGTTGTTTACTGAATTGCATTCAATATCCATTCTCATTATCTTGAAGTATAAATCCTCACTATTAGCCCAAGTAATCCACTGAGATCCAAATGAAGTTAAGACCTTTTTGCTCAGTTAAAATCGAATAAAATCGCTAAGATTGAACAGTAGATTATATACAAGAGTTATTTTTAAAGTTTGCAAAGCTTGTGATGTCTAGAAATACAAACAGCGCTTCAGGATTGAAACATTTAGCTCAAAAAAACGCAGAATAATCAAAAACAAATTTTTGAGATACAAATCGTTCTCATTATTGCGAAAAAGTTTGCAGAGTATGAATGACCTTAACTAGACAACAATCAAAAACACAGGACAGATTTATATAGAACTGATAGAATGTCGCCGGGAGTGGAATCTAGGACGTGCGTGTCAATCCGTTCGGGGCTCATTAGCTGGATATATCTACGTCTCAGAGTTGATGTTCACTAAACATTGGACAGATGTTTTATCGTAGCATGGAGCTCCTGATAAAAACCCAAGTCTTGATTATGGACTGAAACAAAGACTTTCAGATCTCTCAGTAAGTACGTTATTTTTAAACTACTGAGCATCAGCAAAGTATAACTTGCAACGATAGTCTATTAATGACAGCACGATTATTACTAGATAACCATTGATAATACTTGCTTCATTCTCAACACGAGTGAACTGCAATAATCCCAGTTTTTCATTAGAACTATGGGATATAAATTATTTTCAAAAACTAAAATATCCCCCCTTCAAACTTTTTTTCTAATGCAGAGAGAATATTTGTCTGTACGAAAACGAATACAACAAAGGAGAAATACTAACAAAGCGTAATTTTATAAACTTACTGCAACTAATACTTCAACAATTTCAACTGATGCTCGATGTAACGGAGCGAGACCATCATCATCTAATGTATTTGGATTCACATGATATTTTAGTAGAATTTTCGCTGTATCAACATAACGTTGAGCAGTTTGATGTGCAAGTAGGTGTAAACAAGATTGCCGTCGTTCAGTAAGCGCTGATACAGATGCACCAGATCGTATAAGCAATTCAGCAATATCTGCACGACCATATAAACTTGCCTTTAAGATAGAAAATTTGATAATTGAATTATAAAACAACTGTTGAGGTGAATACTCACTCTCTAAGAAAAGAAATAGAAGCATATTGGAGCTTTTTAAACGTGACTTATTAGCTCCCTGAAGGTTTTGAGATTTTGAGACGAATTACTTTGCATGTGGTGGCTAAGAATGCTACCCGGTTTTTGATATGGAACTAAATGAAATAGAGTCCAAAGATAGGATCTAGTGTTAGGCTCAACGTAAATTGACATCTTAAGAATGTCTTTAGCTGAAGAATATATGTTGCATCCAATCAAGTTACATCATTTAATTTGACAGTATTACTGAAAAATTACGGCTGGCACAGATCCATGGCTCTTGAGGATCAGTTATCAATAGACAACCAAATAATCTATACATCATAACCCGACATGATGTTATTCAATGACTGAGTTGACCAACAGAGAAGTCTTTGAATGTAGTGTTGAACAATGAAACAATAAATTTCCGAACAAACGTAAATTTCTTTAAGATTGCCGAACACTAGTTAACATTCAAATTTAGACTGGAATTTTTTAATTAATTAGTTCAAATGGTACATATCACCTTTGTTCGTGCCATTAGATTGTACGATCATGAAAACGGATATCAGATAAGATAACCAAGGTAGCTGCACATGACATCTAAGATCAAGAGCAATGTGTATTCTCAAAACCATTAAAATGTTTGTAAAACTAAATCATTTATAATTCATCATAAAGTAAAAAACATAGGATTGGAAAATTTAGCCGTCTTACTTGGTGAAGTGGATATCGAGGAGCATCAGCCACGTAAATATCTGCACCTGCTTTAATAAGGATTTTGACCATTTGTAAATAGCCTAATTCGACAGCCAAATTGAGTGGACACACTCCATCGATGACCATACTTGGATCCACACCATTCGGATAACTGAAGAGATATTGAAGTGTGCCAACATTATTGCTTCTTATAGCTCCACGTAGAAGCCATGGGATCTGGGATTTGCTTATACGAGGCTTATGACGTTTTTTAGAATATCTTGCACCCATTAAACTGAGGAATGCATGGGAGTATAGATTAAATAAGAAGTTGACAAAATCAGGTAAATTGAAATGAATGTTGACTGCTTAGTCAGTCGGTCATAATTAATGTAACAGTTGACACCAATAAACAAGTGTGGCTGTGTTAAATTCAATGTAGGGCTCACCATTTTAGTGACCCGCAACATGACTCCATATTTACGTACAGTTAAATATGCTATGAAATAAATTTCCCCTTCAGTCTCCGTATGTCATACGTTGGCGAAACTCGTTTGTGCGACGGATTTGGTTGGATGAGTTTATTTCAAGAAATCGCTCATGAATTCATTTAGTCAGGCAGATGAGAATGAAAAGCACACAAGCAATGTGAAGCGAAGCGCAGAAGGCGAGCGAGCCAACTGAGAGTAGTGAATATATTATTTATAATCACATCAAAATAAGCCAGACATGAGACAAGAGAAGTAAGAGACACACACACAACCAAAACCAACCAAGATGTGAGCGAATGACTGGAAAGGTTAAGAGACGAGTGAATAGTAGTGACTCAGGCAGAAGAGGTTAGTAAGTTAATTTGTCCGAAAGCTGAGACAAACCATGTACGCTCAATACATTAGGACGCACAATACAGTTATACTATGAAGAGACGAAGAGTGTGACAGTGTTAGGGATCATTTGACAATCTATAAAATGAGTCTAGAGTTTAGATAGTTGGCCTGTACGGGACAGAATGATGAAAACTGATCAACCCCAAAAACTATTTTACTTGTATGGTATATCGTTACATAGCCTACGCTACGTAAACAATCATACGAATCTTAACGCTTTGAAGGGTTTTAGAAGACTGAAATAGCATAAGGGACTTAAATCGTAAGCAAAAGCCATCAAGAAAGCATATATACAACTCAACACCTGTAATATTACCTTCGATATGACGATGCACAACAAATTTCATTTGCAAACACCAGGAATGCAGTACTATATTGCTTAGTAGAATACCTAGATGTCTTAAAGCTATTTTAGTAGAAAATTTAGCTTAAGACACAATTTCAATGCACAATAACAAGATATGTGATAAAAAAAATGTGTTCGACCCCACTGTTATCGGTCCATACGTTTTATAGGACATACAAAGACCGTGAGTATACACCCATCATACCTACTGACAAGTAGTGCATTGACTTTTGTACTACGCAGAGACAAACACTGAAATCATCCATGAGATTTAGCTGACCTAATCGTATACTAAAAATGCAGCAAAGCACTGTGTGCGGAAATCAAACAGCCTGACACTTTCAGCAGGGTACTTGACTGAGAGTATTCAGCATGGAAAATCTGAACTGTGAGTTAGCCTTGCTGAGCGATAAACGCAAATATCTTCCAAACAAAACAGAAAAATATGCTTCGGATCATAGTTTGAGATGGGTGGTTTAGATTTAAACGAAGAGACGCACGAGATTATTAAGAGGCTCCCATAAGCGAAAGAGATTACAACTAATGCAGAGGTTGTGAGAAAAATATCTCTATTAAAACGAAATTCAAGATAAACTTACTCCCTAAAAATTTCAAGCCAATTAAATCAAAATTATCCTGTAGACATTGTAACGCAGTATGTCAAGCGAACAGCGGACAACATTCCAATATCCAATACCCAATATCTTTCGCACGAGTTAGTACACACTAATTGAGTTATTTGCGTTCGATTCTCATTCTTCCGGTAGGGTTTCAGGTATTTGAAAAATACAATGAGGACAAAAAGCTTGAAAACTCAAGCACACAAAGACTCAATCTCGCTTTGAGAGTGTGAATATATAGTACTGTAGCTACATGTTCTAACACGAAGCTCAAGTAATATGCTACTAAAATAGATATGATGAAATCCGTTCCATAGTCCTCAAATATTGTTCCGCAGCTTTCAGCTCATCGGTATATGACCTGATGAATGAGCTGATGGATGAGCGAACGAGAGAGTAAATAGAAAAGAACAATATCATTCACGAAGCTCAACACGCGTTCCGGAAAGACAAGTCATGTGCATCCAATCCAGTCAAAGTCTGAGACAGCTGGCAACCTAATGTGACCAAAAACTACCGGTTCATAGCTTGTTTGACTTAACAAGCGCTTTCGATACAGTACCCCACGTTTTCCTAATTTCGAAAGTTAAAAAGTTAAAATGAGCTTCACCGATCCGTATCTGTCTTGGCTCAGAAACTACTTTGAGAACAGAGAGTTTCGTGCGAAGGCAAATAAAGTGCAAGTAAGTAAGAGAGCCCTAACATCAGGAGCTTCACAACGGAATATCTTGGGTTGACCTTTCTTCCTGATATTTATTAATGACTTGCTAGATTACGTTTAATCAGCTATACTAATTTATACAGTCGAGTCAAAGATCTAGCCTCCTATAGAAAATAAGGACAGTTAATTTGGGCATCAAAATAACCCAAAACATGAAAGCGATAAGCAACAGACAACGCGTTAAAACTTATCCAGTCATGATGTAGTTTCAAGATCATTCTACTAGGTGTAAAACGAACATCTTAGTTGCTTCACGGAAGTACCATCACTAATGCCTCCTCAGAAACTGATTTCCCTGCGGCAATCATGGTGAGCTTGTACATCAAGTCAAGCTACAATGAAGAAATGTGAGTTGGTGGCCGATAATGTTGAAGAAGAAACCTTACAAAAATGGGCTCCAACACTTGGAACTATTCTTGCTGAGTTGTAGGAGAATAAGAGGTGATCTGGTAACGGCCTGAAACATATTCAGGACTTCGAGTTACTCCTTGTTATTGTCATTAAAAATTCTTTAGCACACTAACTTATTCTATAATCTTCTTTTTCTCTTCTGTTGTTACACTTTGGATCACTCTCGCTGTCTTCAATACCACGTAAATAGACTTTTTATTTACTAGGTTTCGGACATATTTGTCTTCTCCTTATCATAAGCATTCTTTATTTAGTATTATCCACATTAAGTTATCACCGGCTCGGTGACGTGATGGCTGATAAGATGCGGAAACCCTATTTGTATCAGATAAACGCACTTGCTGAAATGACAGGACATATAAATTCATGGACAACTGTCGGGCGAACAGAATTAGTGCATCCAGTGGCTAGACTGACGTGATGTTAAAGTTTCGGATTAGATGTTGTATGTAGAATCACTTGAAAGCAGGCTGTTAATTGTCACCGAATGTTAATCCATGGTAAATAATTTCATGACATTCACTTTAGATCTTATAGATTACGTGGTCATCTCAATGCAGTTTTCCTATAACGGAATGCGTCGTATCCTAGTAGCATAGATATCATCACTGATACCGGCTTAGACATGAATCTTATACTAGCTTGAAAATATACATCGGAATGAACGAAATAAAAGATTCGGTGGTAGATAAAATTAGAAAAATTAACTTGATCACTTCGGGGCAGATTTCTCTCGACATGAGTAGTGTAAATTGATGGGAATTGTACAGGTATTTGAAACGCTAAACTAGATATGACAGGATAATCCATGAACTTATATACTGATATCTGATCTCTTTGAAAGAAATCTATCGAAAATGTTGTGTTGTAACAAGTTTTGAGCGCATGCCAGACGGGTTAAACTTATTATGCGAAAGCAAATCTTTTGCGTTTACTTTTCAAATTGCTTCAGTGACACTTACATAGGAATATATTTTGAGATGCCAATGTTCTCCAGGTTAAGTCGTACTTCATCATGATACTGGCCTCGATTTTTAAAGGGGTGATCATATATATATAGGTGAATAAGTGTTATTACGTTTGTCGATTTGATTCAGTCAATGAAGCTACATCTTTACTTTCCGTTCGGTTGAGCGTGCCGATAAAAAGCTTTTGTCTAAGCATTAAAATTACCGGTCACACAACACAACATTATTTATGACAGGAAGCTTGGTCTAAAATATAAACTAGTAATTTCCTTTATGAGTAAAGTTTGACCATGACTACCAGAGGAATTCTGTTTATGACTCATCCTTTTAATACACCAGTATTGTTGATCAACATTTACAAACAATATAATTATTTCTGTATTTTAAATACAAGTATTACAGAAATTTGAATTCAATAACATCATTTTTCTAACACGTAGGTATATATTTTTAAAATGGATAATTACTCCATTTAATAAGATATCGAATTTTGAACCCCTCATTCGGAATAAAATCTTGTTCATGTTGAGATCCTGATCGTGTTCCCAGGATAGCTTAATTGGTTGCCGACTTGCTTACTCCAAGTATTTGATAAAATCATTTGTATAAACGAACAGATACTTGTAACCTTATCGATCTGAATAAAAGAAGAACATAATATTTAACTTAGCTAAAGCGAACTATCTTGAAAAACTTTCTATTTATTAGTAGTAATAATAACCAGACTATAATTTAATAACTTCCTCTGATGGATGCTAATTTGAGCTTGAAGATACTCACCTGATCGGGGTCAGCTGAACGTTATAAATTGATAAAAAGGATTAGGATCCAGATTCTGTTTTAGGTCAGATTTAAAAAATAGAGTTGAGGATCTTCATCTCAAAACGAAACCAGCTAGAGTGCCAATAAGTTACTTAACCATTTAGAAGAATACATTTTACTCCAAAATCCGGGGACTTGCTATTCCGCTAGTGAACATATTGTCTTATAATGTTTCTTATTACAGACTTTTATTTCCCAGAAGAATAAATAAGTTGAGAAATATATGAAAGATTAATAGGCAACCTTTTGAGATACGCAAGAGATCATAGATACGTAGATACCAAACATAACTGATCAATCAAAAAAAATTAGCGATTACTACTTGATGATCAACAGATTGAAAATGCTCTTCTAAAAGATATCGCCTCTGACATTTCGAAGAGCTACTGATAACAAGTGACGCTTGATTTATCTCAATAGCAGCCGGTCACAGCTTCTAGTTGGTCGGTTTATGAGTATTACTCTTGGACTTCATAATCTGCTCATCAAGAAAACGTCAGAAAAGGGGAGACTTGATTGAGATAAATACACACTCGACAGAACCACTGGTTTATAGGTTTGATTAGATCTTTAAATAATGATCAGAAGAGATACATAGCTTATTTAAGTTGCCACTTGAAAGACCTTTATTTAGAAGTGTTACGAGGGCTCATGGTGAAAGGCGAGTTTCTTCAAAAGCCACGAAACTGAAGCCCTTTTAAACAACCGGAGAAACAAGTAACACAAATTAATGGAATATCAGCACAATATGGGAGGATTTGATGATTATGATAAGAGACCTAAATGCAATGATTTAAATGGACAAAACCAGATATGAAGATATCATGGAACGACATAGTTTGAGAGAAAAGAAAAAGCAAGCAAGAGATTTGCAAATTTCGTGCCTTCAACAAAATGATCATAGTTGACAACGAATTCTTACAAAAGCGCATACAAAAAGCTGAAAAGGACAGTAGGTGAAGTACGAACAAACAGGGAAACTGAGGGCTTCAAATCACCAGTTAGTGACAGACGAGATGAAACTGTAATTAAAGAAACACTGTAAAATTGGGAAAACAGCATCACAACAACTCAATACTTTCTTCAGTGATACTTATAAACACAGTGCACTGAAAATATCTCTTACCAAAAGGTTCCAAGCATTGCACTTTTTACTCAGTGAAAACTATCATGAAAAATAAGTGGAAAGGGATCAAAATAACAAATACTTATATATGACATGAGGTTCTGGGCCATTGAAAGTATCCCCACCAGTAGCAGATCTCAGTTAATAGTCTGTATACGATTCAAGAAAAGGAGAACAGAAAAACAATGGTCAGCAGCAGTCAAATAAAAGCAAAGAAACCTAAGCCATAAGCTAAATACACAGAAGCAAACAAGCTTCAGATATGATAAGCGAAAATACTTGAAAGATCTAGCATCAATGTCAGAAAGAGCTGCAAGGGAAAGAAATGTGAACCAATTATAAATGATGCAATAAAATGGCTTACTGGAAAATATCGTAAACAATGAAGACGAAGTAATCACCGACATATAAGAACGGTGAAACAGGTGTGTAGAACAATTCTTGAAATGACAAGGCCCACTAAACCGACCTAAGATTAAAGTAGCACACACAGACCTCTCAGTTCTTGTTAACACACTAAAAATTGATGATATCAGCATGACCATCATACAAATCAAGAGTGGTGAAGCACAACGACTAGAATATTTCAGCTGAGGCACTAAAAAGACCATGATTCGACGACAAAGATGCGTGTTTGGCAAGATTTGGGAGGAAGAACTAAGTATCATCAGACTTGAAAGAAGTCAATCCCATCAAGATACAAAAGAAAGGAGAGATACAGATTGATCGATCCCCTCTCAATAACAGGGATTGGTCTTCAAGTGGGTGCTTTTAAACCAAATGAACGTTTCAATATGTTCTTAACGCCAATATCTGCAGGTTGAATTCAGTAGGAGTTTTATTCGGCACTACGAAGTGCCTGAGAAGATAATTGACATTCTTATGATGGGTTTAACAGCCAGGCTGTGTGAAGGGCAGCTTGAAGACTCGTGTAAGGTAAGATTGCCTCCTCCCATCCTTTCTTCTTCTCCTGCTAGTTGACTTGGTTATGAAGACATCAGCATCTCAGGGAAAAAGCAGAATACGATGGACAGCTTTGATGCAGCTGGACGATCTAGACTTCGCAGATGATCTCTATCTTCTTTCCCATACACAACGACAAATAGAGATAAAGATTACCAGTGTAACAGCAGCCTCTGCAGCAGTAGGGTTCAAAATACACAAGGAAAAAAGCAAGAAATTTCGATGCAGCACAACATGAACCAACGAAGTCACACTTGAAGGAGAGGGTTTGGAAGATTTAGAAACCTTTGTGTATCTGAGAAGTTTCATTGATGAGTACAATTGATGTGATGTGCACGTAAATACAAAGGTAGAAGGTCTGCGACTAAATAACATCTGGGACGCAAAACAACTATCGAAAAACACTAAAGTCAAAATTTTTCTATACAATAGTAAGACAGTTTTACTTCATGGAGAGGAAACTTCAAGAACCACGAAAGCCATCATCCAAAAGATGCAGGTGTTTCTTAACAGTTTCCGTGCAAGACACTCCAGGTCCGTTACCCAACCACCATAAATCAGAACAAAGCAGATTCTAGCATATGAAGAAATAAGAAAACTTGTTGTAAGTGGGTTGGACATACATTACCAAAGCATCCAACCGCATCACAAGAGAAACCCTAACTTGGGACCCTGAAGTCCAAAATAGAGGAGTGACACCAAAATGCACATTTTTTAGAGGACCGGAGAAAGATATGGAATTTATGAGAAACTTGAAAGAAGATTGGAGGACATAGTCGGTCGGAGAATGCTGCTTGGAGGCCGTCGCTACATTAGAGGGAACAGGCATAAGTAAGTCACTTTCTACACAATTAGAATAAATGACAGCTTGATGCAACTAAGTTTTTACTTATGCAAGGAATATTATCTGTATTTGAAAATTAGTACATTTAATGGTACCTTCTAGTCCAATTGTTTCGTAATTATATTTAATATTACCTTTACCCTCCTCTCAAAACTCCTTTCTCACGTATTTTCCTCTTCCGATTGTCTCGTTTCTTCATCTCTCAATCTCTCAGGTATCATAGTAAGTGATAAGGTAGCTACCAATTCTTGCATTATAGCAACCAGGTAAACCAGTGGAGGTATGGAATACGGGAAAGTAGTGAGTCGAAAATCTCAGTGTTGAACGACAGGGTCGTGAAAAAGCTCAAAACGCCACTTTTGCGCAATGTTCACAATTTGGCTCATTCGACCCAAGTACCTGCATTGGGTCTGCAATACATAAACCAAAACGACAATCTCTAGATTCATACCATTGGAAAAAACGGTAGGAAAAATAAGAATGGGAGAAAAAGGAGCCCGAATGCTAGGTCGACAGTCTGTCGTTCAGAAATCCAACAAGGATAGCTGTGTCGCCTGATTGATGCGAGTCAAGACCAGTGACTCTTTTTAGGACTATAACATCTGTAGTACATGAATCTATCGTTACTGCGACACTATAGTACCTAGAGAGTACTATGGGTTTCATGCTGAACTATTCTTTTTCTCGTGGTTCTGGTATATATGTTCACGTTTAGAGTAACCAAGGCAACGAAAAATAGCATTAGTGAAGCCACAGGCCCCACCAACAATAAACCCACAAATCCCAATAGGTAAACCTACATAGCCCGGCACTAAGCCAATAAAACAGGCAACAAATATGACCATAACCCAAACCGATGCACCAACAAAATGCCTGTTGTTGTAAACACCCCAGTATTTGTTAACAATACGGAGCAGTGGGTGAGTAAAAAGGACGGAAACGAAAACACTACTATTCGCAAAATGTTATCGATTTGTGACTTGGATGTTTGACTAAATTCACAAATTTTATTGAATGTTCTAGTGTCGGGGTGTAGCTTACCAGAGTGTAGGGCTACCTTTAACAAAGAATAATGGGATAAGTACCGCACAATCCTCGGAATTGGCAGTGCCTTAGCCGAAAAGTTTCGTCTCTTCAAAGGCCGTAACGCTGCAAAAGGGAAACACTCTCCAATGAGGGTAGCCTTAGGCTCCGTAAATCCCAGAGACCCTCTGCTAGGTTTCCCTCCTCGATCCGAATCAGGCAAGACAAACCATGGTCCACTGCGAGCAGCAGTCAGGATACCACAAGGCACCCGAGAGCAGACCAGCATGGTAGTTCACGGAGTGCCCGAACTGACTGGTGGTAGTCCGGAGGAATCTCACACGCATGACGTGCAACAGTTGCGAAGATTATCGGGTAGCCTCGGCCTTCACACAACTGTAGCAATACGCATTTACTGTCTGCCTGTACCGCCACACCTCGCCACCATTTAGTCATCATTTCTGATGGTTGTGGACTTCAGGGATCGGAAAGACCTAAATGAGGCGCTTCAGGCTTGATAAAGCTCGAAGAACGATCGCTCTAGCCCCATAAAGTGTTGCGAAGGTCAATCTAGATCTGTGGGACAACAGCAGGGAGGCCGAATTAAGTGCAATAAAGTGATAGTTGACCTCGATCAACAACCTTCGGAACAAGACATGAAGACTATAGTCTTTTCTATGGAACACACTTCACAGGCGAAAAACATTCAGAGGTGAGTTCCCGCAGAACTGGCCGAATCGGTTTGAAAAACTAGCCTGAAGTTCAGACAACTGCTATTGCTGTAGAGGTCTGCCAGGTGCTGAGAATAACCACCAAGTGCCTTTATAGCAATGTAGGAGGACGATGGGGTAAGCTGTTAGAAATCAAGAATATGTGCTCTCAGATGGATATGAAGATCACAGTCCTAACTGAAACATGTCTATCCCCTGACTCTGCAGGCGACGAAGTGAGCTTGCAAGACATGACACTTCTGATGAGATAAGGTACACAAGACAGTAGGTAGGGTGGCTATATATACTAACAGCCATTTCAAAGACTACTCAGCACCCAACTAACCGAGGTTACAGAATCATGTTGACGTTGTTTCCAGACCGGTCGCATTACTTCCAACACTATCAAAGGTAATAGAGGGGCTGGTGAACGAACAGACAAGGGAGTACATGGATAAGAACAAGATACTCCATAAAGCTGAACTCGGGTTTCGGAAAGGCAGGTCGTGCACATCCAATCTTCTCATAGCATGGGGCAGTTGGACATCCTGCCTGGGTCGAAAAATACCGGTACACATAATAATTCTAGACCTAGGAAATGCCTTCGATACAGCACTCCACGCACGCCCAGTCGCAAAGGTTGAGGCATTAGATTTCACTAACCCACTCCTACCTTGACTCAGAAACTACCTTGAGAATAGAAAGTTTCGCACTAAAGTAAATAGAGTGCACGCCAGTTGATGAGTCTAAATATAGAGAGTTTCTCAGGGGACCATTTTAGGTCTACTTCTATTTTCTGATGCTCAATAACTATGTTAGACAAAGTTAGCTGGGTGGCGCTGATCTACACAGGCAGTGCGAAGATCTAGAGTTCCACAGCAGACGAAGCGGGTTCTACTGAGTTTCAAAAGGACCCTACATCTATTGACGGATCAGCAGTGGAAAATGGTTTAAAACTGAACCAGTCAAAATGTCAAGTCATGCACATTCTGCCCCACACAACGCAAACGATTTATACCCTTAGAGAGTGATCTCGGTTTAACTGCCACAGAAAGCCTCCACACCAGTTCGAACTATTAAGGTGACGCAGCAGATGTTAATGCGACTCTTCACTTTAGGCGAAGACAACTTGGTGCTATCACCCCAAAATTACCCCTAATGTGCTTTAAGACATATGTGCGCCCACACCTGGAGGTTCACAACATCATCGAACACCCTCTCCTGAAAGGGACATAAATCTCTTGGACTGAGCCTCAAGTGCAGCTACTGACGTTATTATTAGTGATACTACTTCTTTATTCATTGTTTGCTTCATGTCCTACTACTCATGGTATGGCTGTGAATCGTTTCACTTCTTAGCTAGCTTGCTATGTGTCCAGGTACCTTCAGAATATTGTACGTCGTATGAGACTTTGGTCATGATCGAATTGTATAAGATAGAATATTAGTTTCGTGGTTGTTAGCATATTCAGATAGGCTATGGGTTAAAACGCAATCGGGGATCAATATCCATTCAGGTGTTGATTGTTATACATTGGTCACTGTACAGATATATCGCCAGTTCGACCGGCAATGCATTTCGTAACATTGATGAGAAAATTATTTTGTTCAAAACATAAAAGTATCCTGAATAGATGTCTCGATACTGTAATTGAATTGCAGTTTCTTCTGTATTTTGATTACGACTAATAGTGAGTTTCACAACAACATGTAGATACAAAATTTCATTGATATCTTCGTACCTCAATAAAGAAGTTCATGGTTTTCTAGACCAATCTGCTTGGTGGTATTTGAAACACAACGAAGAGTTCGAAACTCAACATACATGTTCAGCATTAAGATGGAGCTACATCCATTTGACAAGTCCCAAGGAGGAGAGAAGTTACGACATGGATTCCATTGTCAACGTTTTTGACCCACGAAACTAGTAACATAATCATGCACTTAAATTCTATTTGTTGTGTAGGAGAAAGAAAATAGTAGTTGGCTACTTGCCTAAAGACACTGGCAAATAGTCTGATAGGAATTTGATACGTTACATATATTTCCTTACTTCTTGTATTACTATTACTATAGGTTGTTAAATGTCGACTAATACATGTTCTCGTCAGGCGAATCACGTGTACTTGATCTGACTTACGTTAAAGCCTGATTGAATAGTGTTGATTGAGTATCTAGTTTAGAACGAGTAAATTGTATACTCAGACAAGTCGTTCAGTGTTTGTACTAACTAAGCAAGTTAGTGCTAATAAGAGTAAAATAGAAATGTGAGGATTACTTCATTATTCAGTGAACAGTGAAGACCACTGAAACTCAATACTGACCTATCTTTGATTGGCTAAGAACTGACCTGAAATTGTTCGTTGGTCGGATTTTCATATAACGTATGTATGAAGACCACAGAACTTATCAAATTCAAAATCTGTATACATGTAATTTTTTGATCCTAACAACAATGAAAATCGCTTGAAATCAAGTGAGGCTATAATTTATGGACGACTTTTGAGCGATACCAAAATAACCGTGAGGCAACATACCTAATTATTAGGATTACAAATAAGTTTGATGGATTAGAATTGAGATTTACAGCTAGAAGTTAGACTCAGAGAAAAAAGCCAATCATATTAACATGAATTGGCATTAGCTAGAATGCCGAAATGCTATTTAGCCACATGCATGAATGAATTTTGCAGACTCATTTACTTGAATTTGATTGGTTTGTCTGAGTGAAGTCATTCAGACATTGTAAGGTTTGTGTTTAACTATTCTTACTAAAATCAACGAATGAAGATTGTACAACACCATTAACTGATTGAAATTAGACATTATCACTATCGGAAGCCGATTCAGCAGTCTGGAGGTTAAGCGTCTATGGGAAAGACTGAAAGCCCTGGATTCGATTTCCACTAGCGAGGATCGTGGATGCTCACTGCTGACGAGTAGTCCTAAACCACGACAAAACGGCTGTCTAGTGTTTCCAGGTTTCTAATACTGGTTCAACATTATTCGATTCTTGATTTCAGTGAATCTCAACAATCTCCACCATCTTATAATGAAAATTGTTATTTTGTTTTTCAAATGTTTCATTATCAGTTAGAATTCCGAATTATAATATATATACATACATATACAACTATTCACTCACCTGATATTGACCTTCAATTTTAAACCAACCAAGTGTTATATTTGTTTGTTCTAATTTATAATCATTATTATTTAATTCATTCTGTAATGTAGCTAATAGTTTTAATGAATGAATATATTCAACATTGGCATTTTGTAGATCAGATACAATCAGAACTGCTGGATAATGTGATTTCGTTTGAGATAAATTTGGCACATTATGAATTGGTGAATAACTATACATTAATTATTTTTTCAGATTAATACAAAATAAATCTAGAGTTAACTTTTTAATATAACAATGCTGAGTGATAATTTTTAAAATTAAAGAATCTATAAATGTATAACATATCATATACTGGACAGTTATAAGTTTGATGCTATATCAAGTCAAATATCCACAGCGAATCGAACATCTATAAAGCTTTTATAGTCGGGGCTAACTTCACTAACTTTGAATTCATGTCTGCATTTTTATCATTAAAGTAATTGGCTAGTTATTGGTCTGCTATAGGTGTGAGATATATATTTATTGATAATTTAAATGTAAGTAGTCCCCCGTCCATAACCCTGAATGCTTCAAATCCTCCAGTAGACTAGTGGCGGTCTGATTGGCACAGTAATAGCATTATTGTGGTGTTTCGTCCTCTGAGCTGGATGTTTTGGTTTTGGAGCTTTCATTGTTCTTCTGAACAACATCATCATCAAAAACTTCAGGTAATGAAGTGAAGAATTCGAATTTCTTCACTTTTGACTCGTAGCTTGTTCTCTTAACCTCGATTTTGATCGGTTCCTGTTGACTTTAAACCTGTCGTTGTTTGCACCTTTGTTTTGATTTCATCCCCCTCTTCATCTGTTTCTTGATCCTAGTTCACCTATGATTTTTCTGATTGGTTGATGTGTTTGCTGATTGCTGATTGACCTGAGTGCCAAGCTTCTAATAATTCTCTGGTGTTCTTTGTATTCTCCCTATCCAGTACTCCCATACTGTTCCAATCGAATGTATATCCATAATTGTCGGTGTGCATTAATATAAGCGAAAAAACTGTTGTGGCGTTTGACTGCTAATTGATATTCATGTAAACGAAGCTGAAGAATTCATCCACTTTATCCTATGTAGTGTTTTTCACAGTCTCATTAGTTTACTTTGTGGATGATATTTGGTTTTTCTTGTCATTTTTTCATTTGGTCTACATAGGATCGATTGAAGTGATTCTGTTGGATTGTGTCCTACACCTATTCCAAATGGTTTCAGTAGTTGTGCAATATGTTCCGATATGTCTTTATGTATGGTATTATGATTCGTTCATTGGTTCCTGTACTTGATTTCGCTTCTGTCGACGATTTTGGTTGATGTTTTTTGATGAAGTTGCGTGGATAGCCGTGGATAGCAGTAATAACATCTATGAGATACTGGTTGACTTATTTCCGAATTTCATAGAGATCATCTTGTCATACGTGACTGTAGACTAGCCTTACTTCATCTTGCTCAAAAGTTAATTCCATTCCTTTCGATCAATTACATTTGACTACTTAACATTTGTATATTGTGTGCACGATGATAAAATCACTTGAATTAGTGACCACATTACAATTTAACTGATAGAAACCAATTATTTGGAAAATAAATCAATAAAGAGTTAGATAGTCACATGGCCTTTTGATTTACTCTATTCGCTTAAATACGTACTAACTTTAGACAACACTTTTATTTGAATCCTTGATTACTATTTACTACTCTTTCTTGACCCAATATTACATTCAGGTGTGACTAATAGAGTTGGAGTATAATGATAATAATAATCTAACCAATAATAAGTTCACTTAAATCAATATACACATTATACAATGATCAAACCATTTTGATGAATCAATTATAACTTACTTATATAATGCTTTAAAAACATTTTTATAATATAAATTTCCATATTCATTCATCCATCTACCAGTTGATGAATATTTATAATAACGTATCATATCACTTAATGGATTGTTTAAAATTACTGCTTTAAATAAATCTGGTCTTTTATTTGCACAAGAAGCTGCAAGAAGACCACCATTTTCATTGCCTTGTAATATAAGACTGATAAGGAAAGAAGATTGAATATTGAACAACATGAACACATTGATTATTAGAATATGATTAATGATTAAGGTAAATAAATACTTACTAGAATTGTACGTTAGAGACATCATTAGAATGCTTAGAAAAAAAATTTCGTCAAGACTTAGATGAATGTTTTTTATATGCGACATAGAATTGAAATGGGCACCTTATGGCTATTACCAACTTAGATAATAATTATTTATATTTATTAGACAAAGAGGAAGACACCTTGATCTAAAACCTACTATGAGAGAAATTAAACCAGATTCCAAATGAGGAAAAAATTAGGAAAGGAAGGCTGAAGGTGGATAGGACATAGATTGAGAAAAGCACCCAATTGCTTTACAAGGCAAGTCCCAATATGGGATCCTCAATGCCAGACGAAAAGAGGGAGACCATAGCAGACATGAAAAGAATGAATAGAAATTGGAAAGGAAAGCCCAAGACAGGGAAGGATGGAGAATGGTGGTCAGTAGCCTATGTTGAATGAGTAGTAACAAGGATATGTAAGTAAGTAAGTTAATATATATCGATACCATTCAAAGAGTAAACAATTAATTTTGTATATGAATTCCATTTGAAAGCGTTAAGGAAACTCACATATAAACAATTTTGTTTTCGTAATAATTCAGTCATGAAACGGTTTTTGATGAAAAAAGGTATAACTACTTTACAAGGAGCTTGACAATTTATATGAAAATTTAATGAATTCAGTGAATTTAATAACTCTGTGTCATTAAGATACAAAATTGTGTTTGGTATATGGAGCTAACAGAAGTGTAGTGACTTCATTTTTACTAAGAAAGCCACGATTCATTAACTAGCAACATTCATCATTGTGATCAATCGTACTGTGGTGTGAGCTACTTATAAGTAGTATATGACGTGAGTGTAAACGTAATGTCTGGCAGCAGAAGATGGGGGAAGATCAAGAAAGGAAGAGTGAGAACACAATGGAATTTGTATGAAACGCATGAATAGTGACAATGGATTGATGTTTTGCAACAGGAACAGTCCAGTTCGATATGATGGACTGATCTTTTGCAAATTAACGATTTACGATATGGTTTTCCGGTTTTACTGAGTAACTCTATAATTTTCGTATAATACAATTTGGTTTCCCCACCTGAGTTCTCGTTCACTACAGTACCAGTGAGAGAATTATCGAATATTTATTTATTCATACCTTTGTTTTACGCAATGACCTTTGTCCATTATGTATATATACTGACATTACACTACGGTCATGTTACTTCTCCTCGTTGACATCGCCATCTGTGTTTTGGCTGCTCTGTACCTTCTCTTATCCTCAGGCACGTTTCGGTATTTCTTCGATGCCACAATATTGCCAACAAATACACCTATTTCATCTGGGCTATCTCGACTTCTTCCTTCCTATAAAAAATCTGAGATAGCGTGTGAGACGCAAATTTAATTGGTATATAGATGTGTTCATAATATCGTAACTCGAACATCTATAGAAGGATCCAAGATGTGCACTTCACCTTATCTGAAATTCATATACTGAATGTGTTTACATCAGTAATTTTTAGTATTCAAACCGATACTTGAACCGAGTACATTTAGGCAATTAGTTCAGGATGCACAGAAAAACAACAAGAATTGATCAATTGCAAGAAACTGAGAAAAGTACATTACATGTGGTAAATAGATTAGTCAGTATTACAGGAGAATTTCGCAACGATAATTCAGGGATAGTTGTATACTGCTAATAAAACGAAATGGATCTTCAATACTTCTTGGTTTTCATTAAGGGTAAGCTAAAAATGTATTGATCTTCAATAAAATCGAATTTCGCTTGGTTTACTTATTAAATTAAACGTTTTTTTGGATAAATTAAGAGATTCATTTACACACTTATACTACTAGCTATTTATTATAAAGTAGTTTAAAAAAATATTAATAATAAACAATGTAAAAGATGGTCTTGAGTAGTTGTTCCGAATATTTGTCATCTGTAGTTCGAAATTTTCATCATTTTAGATTTATATACGTTGGTTGACTTCATACTTTCGTCAGAAAATCATGGATTGAAGCTTCAGTTAGTTCAGTGGTTATGAGTTGAATACATGTTCACTTCTATCGAGAAATGATCAGTGAAATTTTCAGTAGTAAAATCATTTTCATCATAGAATTGCGAAGATTGTTAAGTTTAATTAAAATCTTGAATGGATCATTGTTAGAGCACCATTCAAAACCTGGAAACACTGAACGTCCGTTTCTTCCTGCTACCAGACTCATCAACAGGGAGCATCCATGATCCTTGCTCATGGATATTGAACTCAGTCCTTCCACATTTCTAACAATGTTCTGACAATCATCGATTCATGACTTCAATGAAAACAAGATCATCATCATTGCTGTTTGTGAATGATCTCTTTAGGTATTGATTAGTTACAATAATCAAATACAGTTTCATTGGAACTATTATCAAATACTCGATACCAATCAGATAATAATCAGAAACAGATTTATTTACTTATTTGAATTAGTATATTTTCGTTGAATTAAATATTCAGCAGCTGCCAACAAGTCATCAATTGCTGTAGATTTATAAATATCACTTCCACTTTTATGCCATTCTTCACCGAATTCACTAAAGAACAATTTTTAAAGAAAACAAATAGGAAATATTTATGCGCAACACAAATCATTTGATTTTTTGTGAGTTAGGATACTAGATGGGTACCTAAACTGAATCAGATAGTATTCATTCGGGACTACTCTGCAAGGCTTTCACTTAAAGGTCAAATGCACAAGGCAATAGAGTGACATCAAGAGATGTAGTCCTATAGTAGTAGTCAGTGGTTCATACTCTTTTTGTTCCTCTTCCAGCATCCGAAGGCTCATGTGTACCATTCATTTGAAGTCAGAGTTGACTAACTCTCTTTTCGTGGATCCTCCGTACCTGCTAACGTGGTTTAAGATTCTGCTAAGCATTCGGTTTTTGTCCCTTCAGTTTTGTAAACAACACCTATGCCATTAAAAGGCAGTGAGTAGGAATTTTATGGTCGTGGTTATATACGCGTCACTTTTGGAGAGGAAGAGAGGAGACTCCCATTCTTGGCGATACCAAGTAATTTGGGGGCAAATATTGGGTTCAGTATTATATTAGATCACATTTTTAGCTTAATTCCAGTTAAATAGATTATTTTATCATACAAAAGCTAGTCCGAACAGAATATTAATGTCTATCAAAATGCTCCCATTACTAAGTATTTTTAAATGATAGAATTTTCAAGCATTTTCAAATGAAAATACACAAATCTTCTTTAAACCAGTCATCTGTGCACTATTTACCTAGCTGTCACAAAGATATAAATTTACTGAACACACTAGTGAAGTCAATTTTGACGTTGATTGTATAAGTTTTAGATACAGTAATAGAAGAACATAAGTATTTTATGGTAGTTTAAGTATGATCAAGTAAAATAGAATCCAAATAAAAACAAAACAATCTTGAATAACCATCAAGTAAGAAGTTTGTCCCAAACTGAATGACTTAACAATCTCGTCTTAGACTGTAAAACTCGGTAGTGTCAATTCGAATCCAATAACAGTCACTGATCACAATCAGCCACTTGAGAAAGTCACTTAATGTCAATCGGAAATGCATTCCATTGTTCAAAAAATGGAATCAATTTCTAAAGAGGTGATGTATATATACATGTACATATATATGAGTACTTAGGCATATTATTCGGTAGTCAGTTGGAATTTCTCTTCCACTGATGTCTTGTCTGTCAAGTAGGAATGACATGTCTCCCATTCAGATCTAGGATATCATCCAACATAATAGTTTTTAGTGAAGTTTCCTTTCGAGGCATGGCAATTTCAGTAGATCAGCTTAAATGGAGAGACTACAATTTATGAACGAATCTATCAGATTCCAGACGACGAGACTTTGATTGAGACAGGAAATCTGCGTTAAAAACACTAGCTCTTATTTCTAAGTCTAACGTCTGACTCTAAATCTCAATTATAATCAAAGTCTTACCGGTTCAATCAGTTTTACAACAACAGCAGCAAAAAAGATTTCAAACCGAAGTTTGGAGTTTTTTCCTCAACCATTAACATGTCAACGAAGTGTATTCAATATCGATTCCTTCAGACTAATGACCACACTGTAGATTAATCGACAGATTTCAATCACTAATAAAGGATTAGTTAAGTAATGCGCTTGGTCATCACATATCGAAATCATAAGGCGATCAATATCAGACCACCATGATAAACCTGGAAGCACTGGACTGACTTTTCTTCCTTGTATGAGATACTTCAGTAGTGCACATCCACGATCCCAAGACATTTGGTCTCACACACAACCGCTTAACCTCTAGACTACTGACCCGGCATTCATTGGTGTTAATTTCTAACTTTAGTGAATCCACGGTCTTGTGAAACATCATCTACTGTCGTCAGTGGGTGCTACTTCACACCAGATACGGCTGAACTCCACCGGTCATGACTTCTTACCAGAACTTGGAGAGACTTCCTCATGAAGCTAGTCACTGAAGAGCACATGAGCAAGGGTCATGGATAAGCACTGCTGATGAATCCTATACTAGGATAAGACGACCATTCGTTAATTTCAGGTTTCTAATGGTTATTTAACAGTGATCGATTCATGATTTCAGTAAAACTTAACAATCCCTATAACCCTTTAATGAATATTACTTATTGACTTAGTGAATTGTAACTAAACAGTACTAGTGAATATTGAACAGTGATAATAAAATAATCATTTAAAAATTACCCTCCTCCACGTATATTAGCCAATGCAAATATTCCATTGAATTTTTCAACAAATAATAATTCATTTGCTGAATAATACGGTTGATTTATATAACCGAATCCACCGAATCCATCTAATTTGCATGGATTTTTACCATTCAAAATAATATTCTCAACAACAATAAAAAAAAGAAATAATTAGAAAAGTAAAAAATAATGCAATAATCAGGTATAAAAAAGGAGAATGTTATTTGGAAAATCAAATTTAATCTATTTTTATTGATTATTAGTAGTAATATTTGAGATGGCGAAGAAAATATGTAACTCAGGTGGATGATTGTGATGCAGTTTAGTTCTGTTAGCTGGATTTTTAGGTTGGTAGCTCCATAACCAAAACATCCACTTCCGGGCTGCTCTAGCAAGTGTGGTTTTGTTAGTGAATACAGTGTTGTATCGATGGATCTTGCTTTTTCCCTCGTGTATGTTTAGGCCTACTGCTGCTACACTGGTCGTCTTTATCTGCATTTGTTATTGTGTATGGGACAGAAGATGTAGATAATCTGAGAAGTCCAGAACGACCAGCTGCATACGTGCTGTCCTTTGTATTCAGTGTTTTCCCTGAAATGTTGACGACTTCATAATCCAATTGACTGATAAGTGTTACAGTCTCTCAACTATTGATAATTTTTGTACTTGTCATATCACCAACTAGAGATAATAATATCTCAAATAAATGTTTGTGAGTTTCAGGTTTTATAGGTCTTCGTTGTTAGCGAGTATTGTTCTCGGATTACTGTCTACCTTTACACCTTAATACACAATATATCTATCTCATAGAATGAAAACCTATCAACTATTGGACATTAGAGAGGACAGATAGATATACAGACATATCCACGACCCTAATGGCAGTCATCGAACCCTTCTGTCTGATGTTTGAGCACTTAACCTCTAGACCACTGAGCCGGCATACAACGGCTGTAATGTCGTGGATGCACACTGCTAATGAGTAGTCCCATATTGGGACGAAATGGCCGTCCAATGTTTCCAGGTTCCTAATGATGTACTGAGATTATTATTCGATTCATGATTTCAATGAAAGTCAACAATCTCTACAACTCTATGATGAAAAACGAAAATGAAAATATGTACAGTTGATTAGATAAAAAAAGTCACCTACTTTTCGACTAAATATAAACATTGGAATAAGTGTTAAATCTTTACTATGATAAAATATTTGATCGATATTATATTCTTTATCACGTAATTCCATTGGTTGAGATTTACGAAACACCTTTTTTGGAGAGAGAGAGAGAGAGAGAGAGAAAAAAAAAATAAAGTGACTGAACCGTGATGAAAACAAGATTGTGTTAAATAAATGGTAAAATTTAAATAAATATAAACTTTGAAATCCTCAATGAGTCATTGTTAGACCACCATTAGAAACCTGGAAGCACTGAACGGTCCATTTTTCCCAGTATAGGGCTTGTCATAAGCAACAATATCCATAACTCTTCATGAAAAATCGTACAACATGCTCACTAGTGGCTAACTTCGTAAGGGAATCCGTGGAGTTCTGGTGAGATGACCTGACCAGTGGAGTTCAAACCTGTTGGGTGTGGATAGTAACTACTGGAAAAATGGATGGGGTTGCTCAGAATCCTTAGATTGATCAGAGTTAGACATTGAAACAGTCGGATACCGGCTCAGTGGTTCAGAAGTTCGCGCTCACAGCCGAATGTCCTGGGTTCGAGTCCTGCGAGTAACAGGACTCGTTGGCGCGCATTGCCGATGAGTCCCATGCGAGGACGAAACTGTCGTCGAGTGCTTCCGCGTTTCTGATGATGATTTAACAATTATTTATTCATGATTTCAGTGCCTTAAACCAATGATCTCCATAATGCAAAATAAATATAAACTAATAATTTCAATGAATGAAATATTAAAAAGCGATAGAATTTAAGGCAAAGAGATAAGATTTAGTTTGACTGTTTTGTTTTATGGTTCAGTGTTTTGATTGCGATTTACAGCCCGCCATTTAAATATCATATTTGGGAACCAATCAAAATGAGGCAGAAATGATTACTTTCGTTTCACTGTTTCTACTATTACTTACAGAAAGCCATGAACAATGGAAAGTTTTCTACGACAGGAATGTTACTTCATCCTTCTACAGACATGTCAGGTGTAGTGCAGTCAGTCATGATGAAAGAAAAAGTACAACACAGCCACATCTTTAATCAGTTCTATCATAAAAAGTTACACCTAAATATTAACAAGTTAGTGAGCAAATGAATGAAGAACATGACCGTTATTAATATAATAGACTTGGATGAATTGACAGTGTGCAGTTTAGAGTCAAACTTAGGAGCTTAAATAAGCGTGTAGAGTGCACTGATTATTTGATATCAGTTATCATGAACTTTGTAAATAAGTGATGTTCATAAAATCATACATCATCATCCTTATGGTAGAGTTTTCTCATGCTTGTGGAGGTATTTCGTTCTCCGAGCTGGATGTTTTGGTTGTGAAGCTTTCATTGTTCTCCTGAACAACATCATCAGCACACATTCCAGGTTATAGACGTGAAGAATTCGAATTTCTCCACATTTAACTCGTAGCTTATTCTCTTAACCTCGATCTTGATTGGTTCCTGTTGACCTTAAACCCATAGTTGTTTGCACCTTTGTTTTGATTGTATCCCCCTCTTCATCTGTTTCTTGATCCTAGTTCACATAGGATTTCTCTGATTGGTTGATAAATTGGGTCAATGTGGATGTGTCTGTTGATTGCTGATTGACCTGAGTGTTAAGCTTCTAAAAATTTTCTAGTGTTCTTTGTGCTCCCCCCCATCCAGTATTTCCATATTGTTCCAATCGAATGTATATCCATAATTGTCGGTGCGTATTGATATAAGCGAAGAACTGTCGTGGAGTTTGACTGCTAATTGGTATTTACGCAGACGAAGCTGAAGAGGCCGTCTACTTTGTCCTATGTAGTGTAGACGATAATCGGATTTTTCTTCTTTCGTCATTTTGTCCTAATCTCGTGAGTTACAAAGAGTTTATCATCAAATTAATTATTTCTTTTTTCTTCGACACCGCCTTGAACTTTATTAGTTTGCTAGTAAAAAACACATTTCCGCCGTGTATTTTTTATGTACACGGAATAATGATTACTAATCAAGCTAACAGTAGTAGGATGCAAATAAATTCAACCAAATCCACTGCCGGCTAGCATCTATTTCTGTTCATAGTACTTAAAATATTACGACAGTTCGCACACGATACTTATATGACAAAAAAATTGATCAGTTGCAGTTGTAAACAACAATGGGAAGATGCAAACAATCAGTACGAAAGAACCAGATAAATGATTTTTCTCATAAATTTCTTAAGTGCTTTTTAAATCACTGGAACAACACACTGCTGAATTTCAACAAAGGAATCACCTTATTATTCATTCTTTTCAGTAGTTTGATGAGGCAGATTATATTCGTAACAAATGTGTTTCCATATCCACTGAAGTGACCGCTGAAAGTCATTGAATATTGTACAGCTGTTCATCTAAGTATCTTTTTGCTGTATATTCAAACCACACACTAAATCATTCTACATAATAGCTCTTTGTCCAAACAATCGTACTCACTTCACTAGTGATAAACTTCCACTCTAGTGAAAGGTTGTGATTAGTAGGATTTCGGTGGTTTGAAACTAAGATAGTTGTTATCACTGGTTTTTGGTGAGCAACGCAATGTATCACAGATTGATTGAAGTGAAGCATTTCATGTGAAACATGAAGGACCTGTATTGGGACAGTTACTCACCGAAGACCATGGGTGAAGTCTCTCAATGCACTGAATTGGTCGAAGTTAAACATTAACACCATTGGATGCCGGCTCACTGGTTTAGAGTTTAAGCGTTCGCGCGCGAGACAAACGGTCCCGTGTTCGATTCCCGCTCGCGGCGGTCGTGAATGCGCACAATTGAAGTGTCCCATACTAGGACGAAACGGCGGTCCAGTGTTCCAACATTTTTAATAGTGGCACAAAAATGATGGATTCATTATTTCGATCATACTTAACTACACAACCGTATAATAAAAAAATAGATAATTATCGAAAATCAAGGACAATCGGATCAATTTCTCATTCAATCTCACGGTGTTTGTCGAGTATGCTAAAAACCAGCCTAATGTGCGGTAATGAAAGCGGAATGTGAATAGTCATCAAGTGTGAATCTTATATCTAGTTTAACGTGATCTCAGTCACCTTTTTTAGTCTCTTCATATTAAGAACTATATTCTAACACTACCGCAACTTCATAGTCTTTCTGCACTTTTTTGAACAAAACTAAAATATCAAGTCAAGTATCATTATGTGAAGTTTTCATAATTTTTTAACGGAACACCTTTAATTAACTAAGTCAACAGTGTCCCCTTTCTGCCCACAACAATGCATTGGTCACTTTAACAAAAAATGGATGATACACAAGGTATTCTCAGCAAATTTATTGTAAAAATAATAATTTAGAAATAAATAATCAAAAAATTACAAATTACCTTTAATTCCCAATTATCTTTAGATAAATCACACTGCATTATTGTACATGGTTCATTGAATGTGGCGAAATGAATGAATATCTATATACAATAAAAAATTATTCCAATGTTATCAATTATCAAATTACCTGACTACTTGTATAATGACCAGAAAGTAAATAGATTCGACCAATTGGAGTTATTATATTCTTTAAATGATTTCCATTATTCCAGTCATAAATTGAAATCATACACTACATGGATGATTATGTTGAAAGGAAAAAAGAAATGAGTAATTCATATAATTCAACTGGATTGACTTCAGTTAAAAACAATTTAGTATAAAAGTTCAATATTACAATTCTGTTGAACTTTATGTGTTTACTTAAAATATGACTTTGATTTTAACTTAGCATATTGTAAAATAGACATTTTTGATCAAGAGCAATTCCCTAAAAAAAATTCACAATCTATTGAAACTTTGAACCCGGCATATTTTTACTTCAGTAGTTTAAACAACTAGTTATGATGGTTTATTTAAAATTATCTCCCCGTTAGTATATTCATCAAATATCCTCAAAGAGAATTATTTGTAAGTCTGATTCTATTAGTCAATTCTTATTGGTCGTCCTAACTATCAATGTCACGTAGATCAAATGTTGTTTCCTATTCAACTTAACTGTATATATATGGATTATCTGTAACGTTTGATGACCCGGATCCTTATCCTCTTCTGGACTCGGAATTCAAACTTTCTGGATGTTTGTAGAATACATATTCTACCTCCTATCAAGTCTTCTTCTTTTACTCAGTCGGGGTTTGGGACGATAGGATTAGAGTAGTCGGTCATGTCACCGGATCATTGATCCTCGCTCTCGTTAACCGACTAAAGCAAATTCGTGATAGTTCAAGCATATCAATTGACGTGCTGACGTGCATTCGTAACACTCCCTCATAATTTTTACTGGACAGTAGTATTCATTGATGATCATTACATCAATAGAAAGGTTAGTTTGGCATCACCTCAAAGTATCTGGAAAACTAGAATATGACTCGTTCAGCTGTCTTTATGTACACTAATATGTTCATTGATTTAATGTCTACTCTCTTGCTATTCTAGTTGTAAATTACATTCAAGTTTTGCCAGCTGCCTTGATGAGCGATGTTTTCGGAGGGGTAGAGCTAGGCTAGAATAAAGTTATTAGCGACCAAACTGAAAACTGGCACAAATCCATGAAGTCAATAAACTGTGCCGTGTTAGAAGGCGTAGACTACGCAGTTGGAGTCCGCGAGATAATAATAATTGATGGTTAGGGATTGTGAATGGCATGGATCAAAATCGTTTGGGATGGCTCAGATGCATTCATTCTTTGTCTTCCCTCAAATTCTAATCTTATGAATTCATGACCTTTTGTTTTCTCCTTTCAAAATTATTTCACTGGGATATACTTTTCCTCCATTTCCACTAATACTCTTACTACCTCTACTATCATGAGATTTGAAATGACAGTTCGATCTCTCTGCGCTGATGTAGTATGACAACTTGGACTAATGTACGTGCATATGAAGTTCCACATTACAGCAGACAGCTGATTTTGCTGATCAAATCGCAAGTCTGAATGATTGGACAATCAGAACATTTGATTTTATTAATAGATAGTATAGGTTAGTCACACTAGAGACTAAATAGAAGAAGTCGATCAATACTGATAACCGGATGAACATGAAACTGGTCACTGTTCACTGAGTGGTCGATTGTAAATATCTCAGTAATAAAGAGGGGTTGGTTTCGGGCGTCATAACTCACTGGTAATGTCTCAGACTTTCAGAATCATCCAGGCAGCTTTAGTTCCATGATTTTATGTATCACTTGGTGACGAACAGTGACTGGCATAGAACTTTGATCTAGGTTTTCCTATTGATCACCTCTAACCAATGAACACGGTTATTCCCCATTTAACAGATGTCACTCAATATTACAGTCAGATATGTTACCACTGAAGCTATTCAGAGCGGCTCAAACTTAGTACTTTGCATAGTTAGTACTCACTATGGGATGCATGTAGATCCAGCTGATGAGTCTCAAATAGAACGAAAAGCGCATCCTGGTTTCCAACGTTACCCACCATCCATTTTTGCCAACTGAATAAATTATTTCTGTTCAATACAATACTAGAATATAAGAATTATTCTTGTCCAATTATATTTCATTGGCCTTTTGTTACTGATAATCATATCGACCAATTTTTTTCATTTTTCTTACATGTAACAGTTATTTAAAACGGAAAATCACATGATCGCATGAATTGGACAATAATTTAACTAAATAAAAACACTTACTCTGACTTTTTCTATACAACTTATAGCCAAATACTTTCGAAGGATACATGTAGCATGTTCCAATTTTCTAACTGTATTATGAGGTATTAAATCTTCCCAATTTGACTTGTGATGAAAAAGAATGTAGAATAGAAAATAAATGTGCATATAAATAATAAACCGATGCAGATATTAACAAACATTCTACGTCTTAGACGGTAGTATACACTGTTAAATTCGTTTACATTCAAAGTCATTAATCTTTATCTAATTCAACTTGTTTCTTGTATATTGTTTTATACTACTTGTTTTATTATTCAGTACATAGTTTATTTCTAATGATTTCTAAGCGCTCGATGTAACGCAAGTAAAAATTCTGTGTTTACATTAACTAATAGTATTATTGTTGCTAATATTAAAATTCATTTCTGTCAACTCTGATAAGCGCTATTCTTAGTTTGAGCGTTCATTGATGCTTCATTTGTATGCTCTTAGCTCCTCTTTGGTTATCGATAAACTTTCATCACACTGTTGTTAAGGTTGTTGAATTTTAATGAAATGATGAGTCAATCATTGTTAGACCACTATGAGAAACCTTTGGGAAATTGATAGCCGTCTCATCATAGTGTGGGACTCATCAGCAGTGAGCATCCACAACCCTCATCCACGGGAATCGAACCCAGGACCCTCACCTCTAGACCACTGAACCGGCAATCTATCAATCAATATTTCAAACCAATATTAACAATAAAAACTGATTTAATTCGATATTTACTAGGTAAAACACTTAACAATTATTATTTACCCAATCAGGATATTTAATGTTAACTTTGATAATTCTATTAAATGGTGCATTAAAATCAGTCAGAATATAAAATTCTGTTGAAGTACTACCGATAAATTTGTATTTTGCATCGAATTCATCCACAATCGGGATCATTTTTAAACGACCTTTAATGTGAAAGGATAAAGTTTAGAGAATATCAATTTTCATTTAAAATGATAAATTATTTTGTACATATATATATGCACAATAGAGTTGTGGAGATTGATGAGTTATTTTGAAATCATGAATCGATCAATGTCAGACCACCATTAGAAAGCTAAACACACTGGGCTTGCGTTTCATCAGTAGTGCACATCTTCGACTCCCGCTACGCGCAGGTATATTTGTGTCTATTGAAGTTTATAAGACTGAAAAGTGTGCAAAATGGCTGTAACCTATATTTGGACTCTTGGATTGTATTTTTCAACTGTAGTCATAGTCTGGATATACAGACAACTATCTTGTATTCACTAGTAACTAGCTTTATGAAGAAATTCTTGAAGGTCTAGTTAGAAGCTGCGAACAGTGGAATTAATCTGTTTCAGGGCTGAAGCATTTACCCACCGAAGACAATCGAAGATATTTATGCACTATCGTGGATTAACTGGAGTTATACATCAACACCATTCGATGTCGACTTAGTGAGTGTGAGATAATGCTTTTGTATTTATTTTTGAGTCTTATAAATCATTAACGTCTTAAATTCAATTCATTATGGGATTATGAGTACAAACTGGCAAGAAGCATTCAATAAAGAGAGATTACTGACAAATGAACTATATGTAGTAGTAAATTGTAAAATCTTTAGTAGGTTTCCTTAAATAACACTCATTATGCCTCCAATTTGCCTGATACGGTCAACAGTGAGGAAAGTTCACTAACCCTCTCAACATTCTCTGATATGGCTAAAAGTATATACCCATTACCAAGTAAGTCCGTTTCGTGCTGAGGGTGTTGTTCACGAAATCGAAAGGATGAAGAACGAATGTCTGGCACTTGTATCGAGTTGGTCAGTACGATGTAACCTCTTAGATAATTTGAAAAACCCTAGTCTAAAATCAGTGCTGCACATAAACCTCTGAATCCAGAGATGGAACAATTGGCGTGTGAACCTACTGTTAGTGAGCGGATACTATAGGACTGGATCTCCTAACGTTGCTTCACTGCCTTATGGATTAGACTGAACCTCTGTGTCAAAGATTCGGTAGATAGTCAACTTAGAAAAATTTGTGCTATGGTTTAGGCATGTGGTTAGTGACCCAGTTCAGTCACAAATTCAATAATTTAGGTAATTAGACATTATTCTTAACAGTGGTTCCCTTTGATAAATTTGAACAGAGAAATGAGAAGACATATTTTGTGAGATAGTACCATTTCGTGCTTTCTCGTCAGTCACATACAAGCAACATGTTATTTGTGTAAATACAGTTTTGAAGATAAGGTCAAAATTTCTTATTTAGTATGACATTCACTCACTAGAACCATGGTAAACAAAGGTCAACATACAGTTGTTTTTGAACACATAAAGTTGGACTTTTCCGACCAATCAAGATAGCTTCGAGTAGTTTCAGTGTGTGTGGGTTTTGATGACATGTCACAACTCTAAAGGCTGATTTTGGGTCAATTTGATGACCACTCATCATTAGATGTTTTACAATGGATGAGGCTGGGTTTCTTGATCGATTTTTTGATGACGGGTTAGGTTGATGAATCATGGATTTGATTAACCATTTTGGAATATGTTCCCCTATCCTGTCTTCCAATCGGCGATCTGTCCTGCCTAAGTAACTTTCTCCGCAGTTACATGTGAATTGGTAAATACAGTGGGATTTGGACTGAATCGGTCAAAATTGTATGTACACAAATAACATGTTGCTTGTATGTGACTGACGAGAAAGCACGAAATGGCACTATCTCACAAAATATGTCTTCTCATTTCTCTGTTCAAATATTATTCTTAATTTAAACAGAAAAAATGAGTACACGTGAAACTTAAATTTACAAATATAAACTAAAAAACTAAACCAGCACAGTTTAGTCAGAGTGAGTACTTCTTATTAGTAGAATATAGATCATATCACATTAATGTATGTACTGTGATAGGTAGTTAGACAAGATTATTTTTATCATGATTACGCTGAAAATAACGATTCACATTTACCACCAATAATTAGTGTATCATGATAATGGGATGTAACATACAGTTGGAATATGATTATTAGATATACTTTAACAACTAGTGTATCGTAAGAATAATTAGTTTATTTTATTTAAACACATAAACATTGGTACCAAAATACATCTAAACATTCATGCATCACACTATTGAACTTCTAAGTCGACTGAGATGTTAATCGGGTGCAAAAATCGAAGCATTTAATTTTGTTAATGAACCAGTCACCGAGTTTTTATTCGAAGGTTTAGTTTAATCCACTAGACAGTGAAGAAACACCAGGAGATCCAGTGTCATAGTTGCCGGTCATCAGCGGTGAGATCATGTGCTGCTTGTCCCATCAGGATTCAGGAGTTTGTACGCACCCCTGGTTTGAGACTCGGGTTTCCCAAATCCCCGAAATGGATACAATGTACTGACTAACTGAATTCAAGTGCCAAAAATTTGCTCTTCGTCCCCTCGATTTTGTGAACAACACCTTCACCTCGAGAAGGTTACAGTCTTAAACATCAGTGGAAACACCAGTATAAATGGGTTGATCTTTACTTCATTAGCTAACTAAATAACGAGGTGGAGTTTCAAGATGAACGTTAGTGGGTTCAGGTTTTAAATTAAGGTATTCGATGCGTAATTTGTGCTTGAGTAAATCAAATCTTCATCCGTTATCAGTATTTGTTACTTGCTTTTTGTTGTATATATATATTAGTTTTTTACTTAAATCAACACTATCAATCCGTTAATAAGAGACTGAATATTTATTTCTTGTAATTCTTGTTGCATACAATTTAGCTGGTAGACTGTAATTTGTTACTAGTAGGTTGCAAGTATACGATCGTAGATGTCTCTGAAGCAATGCTCGTATAGCCTGGAAAGATTGAGTAGTCAAGGACAGGGTGAATAAAAGGGTACTAGGTAGGGATTTTGATCAGTTGAGGTGGTCGGTACATGTGTTACATATGCCGAACCACCGACTTCCTAGACGAGCAATTTTTTGTGGTGTAGGGCTAGTCTGGGAGAAGGGAAGCCAAACCAAAACATGGCACAAATCTATGAAGTTATTAATAACTGGAATGAACCGTGTTAGTAGGTGTAGATCAGCTTGTTGGGGTCCATGAGACAATCGTAACCAATGGCTACAGACTTTGAATAAAATGGCTTAAAATCGTTTATAATGTGGTGCAGATGCATCCATTCTTTGTGTTCTCTCAAATCCTAATCATCTGAATTCCTCACCACTTTAACTCACTTTTTTAAAATTTATTTAACCGTATTATGCTTCTCGAATGATATCTTCGATCTCTAATCTTCTCCATTACTGCTAATACTTTAATTGCCTCTGCTAATATACGATTTGAATTGAAAATTTGATCTCTGTGCCAATATAGTATGTCAGCTTGGACTGATGTACGTAGACAAACGAAGTTCTACTCTGTAGCTGACTGACTGCGGTTTTATGCTATGTATTTTGTTGCTTCACATTTAAACCTTAAAATATTCAGTTCTATGCTAGTAACCATCATCATCATATAAGATTTTGTAAACTTAAACTTCGCGCCAAATAAATGACACATTTTCTTGTATCCAAACCACATATTAATTGAGAGTAATAGGACTGACCTTTTGTTTTCAATCGTTCATGATTAACATAACCAAAGATTAATTTATTCTGTGAACCTTGTTCATTCAATAAAGTCATTAAAATAAAACGTCCAGTTTCATCTAATTCACAGAACCTATATTGTATGTCAAATTGAACAAACAAGAAACAAAAAAAAAACAATTGGAAATGAATTATCAAATATTAAAAATTATTGAACAGCAAAATTCCATTGAAAGTTAATTTTGTATCATATTGACACTCATCAACAAAGAGTACTTTTAATCTCAAAGAAATTATTGTTAACTTATGAATTAGGAAAGCAGATCATTTAATTTTACAGTTCAGTATGCTACAATTGAAGTGATATGAGAAAGACTAACTTACTGTAAGAATGAGATCTGTATGCAATGAATATAAATGTGATCACCTTATCTCACTTCATAGCAAAGTATAATGAGGGAAATTTTAGTAACTAGTGACTTAACTCAACTCTAAATAAAAGAAATTTGAATGCATTCATTAACTTTTAAGTTAGGAGTCGCTTTAGGATTTCCTTCAACCAATGAACAATGAAATATCATGTGCACGATAACTAATCCTTTAAACTGGTGATCACATCGAAAGAAGATTTAATCAAGTACAATAATAAATAATTGAGGCAAACATTATTTACGGTCAACTAATCCATCAGTAATTCAACCTAGAGCCCTCCTAATACTGGATAAAGGCATAGTGATGGGCATAAAGTTAGAAACTTTATTCTATAGAGAAAAAAAAATACGTTAGGAAAACACTGATCAAAAAAATGTTATCCAATCTATTTAAACTCTGTCCTGCGAGTTGAAAGGTCTTCATTTCGAAAAATTATAATACCCTAGAGTGAAAACCGAGTTTCTTCAGAAACCACCAGGTCGATCCCATTTCTAACAACCAAAGCAACAATCAACCTAATTATATAGAATATTCTCACAATGTAGGAAACCGAAAGAAATTACACTGATGGTAAATTATTAAGAAAAAAGTGCCTATCATGTTTTTTTATCGGAACTCAGGATTCAGAATAGATTTTGTTTGTATCGAATAACCAATAAGAGCCGAGACTGTGGCGTCCGTGCCCAAGGTTAGTTGTGCTAACCTAGAAATTTACTGGTCAGGTTAAGATATTAGTTGATAGGGCTGCTCCTTAGCTCTATACTATGCACCTTCTTTATACATGGCTTTAGTAGAAAACTCACCAATCAAAATCCGGGTTTTGGAACTGATAAAAGTCAGAGAGTAATAGGCAGCTATTTCGTCGAATTATGGTACTCCTCAACAGTGCTCTGGTTTGTATAATCTACGAGGTAATTAAAATTTTGCCATACTCTTATAAGCTGATGAAGCTGAGATTAATAAAATGGTTTACTAACAGCCAATACTAATATCTTAGTCTCAAGGTTTTAATTGTTCAGAAACAAATCGTGGTTGAATAAAAGTTTTTATCCGAGCTAGCAATCATCAAAGAGGAGTACCTTCAAGGTTGTAGGTAGTAGCACCCGATAGTAGATTGAAACTGGGGTGATCGGTCACCATAAATATCGGTTCAACAGAAAAATTCAGTAGCGGCCTAAATATCTCAGTGGTAAAGTCTCTGGCATTGAAACTTTATAACAAGGAATCAAATCCACCATCGAGCAAAAGATCCTTCCATATTACAGGTACACCTTGTTAACGGGTGCCGAATAACATGGAAACTAGATCAAGCAGGCTCTCTTGTTGACTAACTCTAGTCTACACGATATTGCGTCACTTGGAAACGGGTACATAAAACTTGATCTATAGAATTTTATCAACAGGCTATAACTAGCAGAAGCTCAGGACAGATTTATAGATTATCAGTAGTATTGTATAGTTAATCAATAAGCAGATTATATATATATATATATATATATATATATATATATATATATATATATATATATATATATATATATATATACATATATATATACACCTTTTGTCATGTTCTTCCTGATAGCTGATAATAACTACTGTTTTGTGATTTATTAATTTCAATCTATAGTTAGTTTATCATTCACCAGCTCACCTACTCACACTTATTTTTTAACCTGTTTGTGTTCATGTCCACTTGAGATATAACGAATTTTGTGGAGGCTGACATATGAACTTCTCTACTAAGAGGCAGAACAGAGTAGAGAGAAAGGAGTGATCAAGTTGTGGATCAAAAAGGATTTAAAACCCACTCACGGACTCGGTTGATAAAACGTTATTCTTACTGATGTTTTATATTTGTCACATGATACACTGATCAGTAGTCAGTGATACAACATTTCTATTAACTCAGTTTCCTTAACACTTTCGCTGATTCGGTAACTTGGTATAACAATTACCATTAATTATTGTTTTTATAGAATGAAAATTAATGTTTCATCACCAGTAAACAATTTAAATAACAAATTTACTTTATAACTTATCAAATTTCCAAAAAAAACGTTTTATTGAATAGATTCTGTTTGAACATCTTTATTTAAGTCCAGTGATTAATACAATCGACAAGAAACTAATTTTTATCATAGGGTTGGAGAGACTGTAGAGTTTCGTTGAAATCATGAAATGATTATTGTTAGACCACTAACAGAAACTTAGAAGCACTGGACGGTTGTTTCATTTCAATATGGAGCTACTCATCACCAGTGAGCATCCACCACGCAACTATGAGGAGGTTTTTCCAAGTTCTGGTGACAAGTCGAGACCAGTGGAGCTCAAAGCTGTCTGAAGTGAATCAGTGCCTGCTAAAGACAATAAATGAGACCTTGCAAGACCGTGGAGTGACCTAAGTTAGACATTAACATTACCGAGTGTCGGCTCAGTGGTCTAGAGGTTAAGCTTTTGCGCAAAAGACCTTCGGTTCTAGGTTCAATTCCTCCGTATAGCAGAACTCATGGGTGCATAATGCTGATGAGTCCCTTACTAGAAAAAGACTGCCTTCCAGGTTTCTAATGGTGGCCTCACACTGATCGATTTATGACTTCAAAGAAACTGATTGTCAATTCGAAGATATTAGATTTTACTTACAATTTATTCAATTGAATTCATCATTAAATGATTATTCTTAATAACTCCTTACTTATTTCTCATTACAATCAAACATTAATGATATAAACGATGAATATTTTTTTCAAGAAATTCTCATCAGCTGGTTCTACAATTATATATTGAAATCGTCAACCAATCATTGTTAGACCACCATTATCGTAACAGTGCTCACTAATGACTAGCTTAGTGAGGAAATTCTCGGAGTTCTAGTTGAGAAAACGTGATCAATGGAGTTCAATCCTGTTGGGTGTAGGCTGTAGCTACCAAAGACAAATAGGTGAGGTCGCTCAAAATCTCTAGATCAATCAGAGTTAGACATTAACACCGTTGGATGCCGGCCCAGTGGTCCGGTGGTTAGGCGTTCGCGGACAATACCGAAGGTCCCGGGTTCGAATCCTGTGGGGAGCAGGAGTCGTGGATGCGCACTTCTGATGAGTAGTCCCATACCAGGACGAGACAGCCGTCCAGTGCTTCCAGGTTTCTAATGGTGGTCTAAAAATGATTGATTGATGATTTCACATGTGTAGTAATAACACAAAAACCTCCAAAAGAAACTCTGCCTCAAAATTATATATTGACCGAATAAAACGAATGAAACTCCGTCATAATTATCCACTTGAATGACAAAATTCCTCTAACATGTTATTGGTCGAAGCTCTAAGAATTTCCGTGCTAGTCAATACCTTCTTAGATAAGTCAGTAAAAGAATAGTGAAGTCTATAAACAGTTCACTGTTGAGCTATTTTAGTAGAAAACGGATCATTATGTCAGTATTGATAAATCTATTTGACTAGAAATTCTTGGAACAACTGAAGCAACCGCAATTCGGAATTATGTGTGCAAGGCCTTCTCTCATTGTGACCAATCCTGGGTCCAATTAACTAGTAGTTTATCTAACAATTAGACGACTTAATTTGACTAATGTACGTATTACTTTTCTTAGTTAAATGTGATTATCTTTGTCACCCTAATTCACTCATATTATTATTATTATTATTATTATTATTATTATTATTATTATTATTATTATTATTATTATTGGTTTAACATCCCCATCAATATAATGAACAGACATGATCAATTTACATCATATATTCACTCGACTTTAATGCCTCTGATTGATTGCATATCATATTAGTCACATAAACATTCGATCGAATTCGATGACTGCATTATTATTACTATTATTATTGTTATTATTATTTATCACATCCTGTCGGATTCATATTTATTCTATGATCATTGATGTCACAATTTCATTTAACGTATAAACGATGAAAATGGAATATTAGACAATTCAGCATGAACAATTTTATTTTATTGTCAGCAGAAGTTAGTGGAGGTTGTTGAGTTTAATCAAAATCATGCACCAAAATCAATGCTAGGACCATAGTTAAAACCTGAAAGCACTAGAGAGGAGGACTCATTAGCAGTGGGCATCCACTATCCCTAATCGCGAAAATCGAACCCAGGACTTCCGGTCTCACACGTCAAAGCTAAACATCCAGACCACTGAGCCAACATCCAGCGGTGTTAATGTTTAACTCAAATCAGTCTGAGGTATTTAGCAGTCTCATATACTGTCGTCGGTAGGTAACTGCCTCATACCCGACAGTGTTCAGTACTATCAGGTTTCTAAAAGTTGTTTAACTATAATTACTTACTGATATGAAAATTAGATAACGGGACAGATTAAAGTATTCAGTTAAATTATTATTTAAGTCTCTGTATCCATGATTGACCTACTATTTCCAAGGTTGAACTATAGACAAACTTATGTTATTGTATTTTATTATTCTTATCACTACTAATAGTACACCTGTCCTCCATACTATCAACTTGTACTTTTACGTATTATGTGTGTAGTTACGTAATCTATATCATTGTGATTATTGACTCATAATAAATTGCCTTAATTGGTTTAACACCTTCATATAAATATTCATGTATATTAAAGAGTAAAGTCTGATCACAATCTCATTACTCTTTGATTATCTGTGTTATCTATTATAATTTACTAGTGCTATTATCATCGTCATCATTCATTATTAATCAACAGCATTTCAGTTCATTTCATAAACTGCCAGTTGACTTCGCTACAACTTTGATATTTTGAAATGAAAATAATTTAAGTCAGCAATACAGTGTAATTATAACAAGTTCGAGTTTGAAATCTGTTGTGTCTAGATAAGGGAAAGATTTTAGTAGTCAGTTTCTATCAGAATATTAATTTCTTTGAGTAGAAGTTTTGAGAGAGGTTTGTGGATAAGGTCAGAATTGTTGTTATTCAGTTGTCTTTGTGAAACGTTCGATATATCTATGTAAAAAATCATATCCTCCATGGTGGTTGGAAGTAGTAAACAGGAAACCATGAACCTGAGTTTTGTACTGTTTGGCATTTGTAAGCAAGGTGTACCAGTAATCTCAAGGTAACTCGGGCTCCTTGGTGGATTCAGTCTCATATCATCAATCTTCACAGTCTGAGACGTTGACTATGCTGTATTCGAGCATCGACTGACCGCATTTAGGATTGGGATGGATTTATAGTTGATTAGCCGCTAAGTAGTGAGTTTCTTCTTGATGCTGATCTAATTCTATTGAAAAAGTAACGAAGTGTCTGCTAGTCGATTTGACTCTCAGTGGTATGTACTAACAACAACACTAGGGATCGGTTCAAGGATCCGCATTTCTCCTTGCCAGTGATGAACTTTCAAATCAATAGGTATTCACTTGACTTTTTACATGTCTAACTTGATTAAGTTTGGGATATCAGCTATTTCGATTAAAATGATTTACCTCACTCCTAGTAGACTATCACATATTACTATTTATTGATTTTCCTTTTAATATACATGAAATATTGTTTGTTGTGGTTAGCGTATTTTTTAGCAAGTTGATCTTTTGCGTCATGATGTCACTAACCCCATACTCAATCCTCTTTCTCTATCCAATCCTGGGACTGGCAGCAACTCCGGAAGGGCTCAAGACTGAGTTGTCTATGCAAGGTACTATGGATAGACACCATCAGCCACAACCTGCTGTAGGAAAGAGCAGACTAGATTCCAGATAAGGAGTACGCTTAGAAAAGATGCTGTAGGTAGGTAGGATACATAGTGAATAAATCATACAACTGCATCACTAGACAAGCATTTACTTGGAATCCTCATAACCAAGGAAAAAAAGGTTGAACCGAGAATCGGAAACATACATTAGAAGAATGAATATCACTTGATGAGTAGAACTGGAAACAAAGATTCAGTACCGAATAGGTTAGAGAATGCTGGTTGGCAGCCTATGCCCCATTAGGGGTAACAGATGTAAGTAAGCAAACAGGTAAGCGAATAATAATATGCATGAATAAAACACACAAAAAGAAAATTACTGATTACTTACATTAAATTTGGTTGTGACATTTCACAACTCCAAAGCACCAAATCTTTATTGTGTTCATTGCCATTTAATTGATGATAATTTATTGAGACAATAAAATTTTCTATTGAATTGTTGAATTGATCTTCGCATAGATTTGATGTTGGTATACAATGAATGTAATAAATACCCTGATTATCTTTTGACCATGTCATGGAACTTTTATTATATAATTGAATACAATCAGTCAAGTGTTGATCGGTTTTTACATTTTTAAACTATCATTAAAAATAAAAGATGTTTTTTCTTAAAAAAACAAAACAATTTACATGAAAAAAAGCAAATCGATAGTAGTACATCACTTAAAACTTTGCACTGTGTATGGAGATACAACTCCACCTGAAACCCTTCTGGGGTTACTGCCAGTCCCAAGCACGGATAAAGGAGGAGGGTTGGGTATATGATTAGCAACCCCATCCCATAGAACTCTAGCTGACGAAAAAAACTCCAACCAGAAAATTAATTCTCTGGTCGGTGACCTATTCTCTATTTGGGGTAACTGGCTTAGACAGGAGGTAGGTAGTGTTTGGATATAAAAACATTTTGTATGAAGTAAGAGACAACTTCAGTCAGTCAGTTAGTTAGCTACAACGTAGAACTTCGTACGTGTACATACATCAGTTCAAGTTGCCATAATTCATTAGCACACAGAAATAGAATTGTGAATTCAAACCCTATAATGGTAGAAACATTAGCAGTAATGTAGATGATTAAGGTACGAAGATGTGATTCCAGAAGTATAACCTAGTGAAATAAATTTAAAAAGAGAAAGATATACGTGATGAAGAATTCAGAAGCTTAGAATGGATGCATCTGTTCCATTTCAAACGATTTAGGCCATGTCTAAGTTAACAGGTCGCTTGGATGTTATTATCACTAACACAGAAAAAATTCGAAATATTTGATTCTTAAAAAAGCTTGAAATCAGTAAAGATTTCTATCATAAATTCATAAATTGTATTTAAAATGTGAAATCACTCACTGCTCTTAAAGCAAACCCTCTGTTCAAGTACGTTTTAAGGTGTAACGCGTTAGAAAGAATAACGATTTTAAGTATTATCCTTACACTATAACTATTAATCTAAGTGTCAAACGTAAATTTATAAACAGAAGAGCGTTACATTAAAGCTGATGTCATTTTCTGATGAAAATGTTAACACTGGTTAAGGAACAACAGCTTAACTCTTATCTCATAATAGATGGTCTTAGTTAGTGACGAAAACTCTGTGAGGTGATGATACTATCCTGAATACTAATAAGTAAATTTAAACTTGTTCTTTTGCTACCACAAATTCAAACGTTAATTATTCAAACTAAAATTATTATCCATCTGCCATTTTGTTGCTTTATACTGTTCCTTGTTATATAGCTAGACAGCGTTTCCTGATTGGCTGATAGATCGCTCAAGGTCGTCAGTATTTGATACTTTTGCCAATCGATAAACTGTGTCCGATTCTGTTATCATCTCGTTGAAGACTATGGAGAAGAAGATTTACACCAAACTACCGTACTTTGTATAATTCATCAGCAAATCTTATTTCAATTATTGTAAGAATCAACGCTTAGATGAGATTCGACATTACAAAAATGAATTACTAATAAGTTACCGATCATTAAATTTACTGAACATTTGAAAGAAAACGTTCAGAAAAAAGATCTCATCCCAAGAAGAATATTACCGAATAGTGAGTTATTCATCTGTTCCAGTAGTTGAACATGCTTCATATCAAATCCCAAAGTCCTAGGTTCGTTTCCCGATGGGATCGTGGGTGTACAAGAGCAAAAGTGTTACAAATTAGACAGAACTCGCTAACTAGTGCTTCCTGATAATCAACAGTGTCCAACCTCGATGCGTCTGCTACAACTTATCATTTTACAAAACATTGACTTATCCACAACAAAACATTGACACTTACATGCAATTTATATCGACCAGTAGCTTGATGAAACGTTTCATAGCATAAATATGTACCACAATCGGATAAATTGAATGCAGAAATATGTTCCAATTTCTCTAATCCTATACATGTTGGATCTAATACAATATGTGGAGCGGTTATTTGATCTTCCATTAATTCTAAAACACTAAAAAAAATAAAACAAAATATTATATCCATATATATTTACAACATGCTTCAAACATATACTGTCATTTTTAAACTTACGCATGTTTTAAATGTGGCGGTTTAAAACAATAAAAGTATTTCGTGTTACGAATTATTGGACAACTGTACTGATCAAATTCACAGATTGATTGTAAACTAGATTTGTTGTTAAAAAAAAGAAAGGCAAAAATTTTAAATCGATTGTTGTTTTGTTTTGTTGAAATAAACAGCTTACTAATTTCGAAATTCTTCTTTATATGGACATTGTGATAGAAAGTCTTGTGTTTGTTTCATTTGACATGAAATGAATTGATGCGTTTTGTCAGAGAATGTTTGTTCTAACCAACGATATGGATCAATTATCTGAAAGTTTATAATATAAAATAAAATGATAGATTTATTATACATAGTTGATATCATGTATAAACTGTAGTTGAACAGTTTTTATTAGGAACTAGGAAGTATGTAACAGCTATTATTCCATCCTGTGTAGTGGCCATTCACGAAGATGAACGTGGAATTTGTATGTCTTAATACAAATTTATTGAGGATCATGGAAACTCAATATTAAGAAATCCTACGCTAGGATAAAATATCTCTCAAATTTCTTTTGATTTCTATTGATTGTCTGACTAAACTCAAGACTAATGAACTGGTAACTGATGATGTACATGTTCAACTTCAGTTAATATATATTTATTACGTAATAAACAAAAAATATTTCACCATCTCAATGGTTTTTTTGACATATTTTGCATACTAAAGTAGATCTTGGTATCGTCTGAAAAATTGAAAATTGAATATCTTTGGAATTTAAAAACACCCATAAACTTCAATATTGAAATACTTTTTTTAGGATGAATGCAAGATAAGAGGCTTGCAAAGGTTGTTCATCATGATATTTCAAATCATAAACCAATTTTTTGTTAAATAAACAATTAAAATAAAGAAATATTGAGTGACTGTTTCATTTTAAGAGGAGACATTTCACAGATTGAAGTCATGAATGTATCATTGTAAGACCACCATTAGAAACACGGAAGCACTGCATAGCCATTTCGTCACGGTATGGGGATCATCAACAGTGCGCATCCATGAACCCTTCTACTCGTAGGATTCAAACCTAGGACTTTCAGTCTTGCGCACGAACGCTTAACCTCTGAACCGTTGAGCCGGCATCCAGCGCAACCTTACCAATTTTCTACGGCACTTACTGTCTACATCAGACAAGTTTGAACTCTACTCATCACATCTTCTCGCTAGAACTCCGAGAATTTACTCTTGAAGTCAGTCACTAGTGAATACAGTGTACGATCTTGCATCATAGTATTATGAATGAATCATTTCAGTAGTATGACAATCATACTTTGATTTCAATGGTTTATATTTGAATCGTTTTTCATTGTACTGAACAAACGTTACTCATTTTATTCAGTAATAACTTGTTTTATTTCTAATTGTATTAAATTCTATTTGTTCAACAAATTTGAATAGTTCTTACGAAAGTTAATTGTTAACAGAAACCCATAATTATTTCTAGGATGGGAGTTATATGCCAATTATTGAGAATGAAGAAGAAAAAGTCTCTATTGAACAGCTGTTTCATCCTTTGATTGAACTTATCAACAATATGCATTCAGATTGAGTTTAAATATTTCTGTGACATAAACGCATAACACAGAGTAGATGTATGATATTTTATTGTATGGTATACAGTTGAGAAACAATTTTTACATAGTTCATTAATCTTTTTCTTTTAAAGTACTAACCAACTACACATTTAGTTTCTTTCAATGTTCAGAGTAATATCGATATACTTTCATTCATTTTTTTAGTCAAGGAATATTCATTCGATTTAGACAGTATAAATCAAATGTGATGAGCCGGAGAATCCAGGATGAGCGTTTTTTCGTATTTAGGATTCGTCAGCTACATGTATTTACATCTGAATTGATGTTCACTCTGGGACTGCGATAGCGTTGTGAGTGAATAATACTGGATTCGAGTTTCGTAATCTATATCAGCTGCCAAATTAAGTTACACCCAGCTGATGAGATGCCAATAAGACTGAGTGCTTGTCTTAGATTCCCATGACAGCCGCATTTTCTACTTAAACTTGTGTCATAATGACTACATCGAGGCAATCCGCATAGCATGCCTATATACCGAGATATAATCCAAACTATTTCAAATCAATATATATATATATATATATATATGCTAACCACTTCACTTAATTTTCAATATAGTTAACTTACATCTTTTCCAAAGAAATTCTCTTTACACAAATCATTTTTCGGCACTAATGAATAATTGTGTCTTTGTATAGTTTTCATTTTGCTGTAAAATTACTTTTTTTTTCTAAATTTGAAACAAAACAAAAACAACGTCTTGATTCAAACATTTTCTTAAAATGAATATTGGACAGGAAAAATATACATTTATCGTTTGATTTTATTCTCCACAAAATACTAACACCAATTATTTCCGTACAATATCCCAGTAATAATTTGTTCGTAATTAATTGAAGAACATCTGAAACTCGAAACAACTATCAACCATCATCAAAGTCAGAATTTTCAATACAAATGTCAAAACAGTTCCGCTTTATAGAGTGGAAACTTAGAGAACTACTATAGCCATTATCCAATAGGTACAGGCATTAACAGTTATTTATTCAAGATACTGTGGATTCGTTGATCGAACATCATCAACAACAACGTACTGCAGGAGAGAACAAATTAGATCCAAACTGAGCAAGGGATTCGGAAAAAAACGCTGAAGACGGATCGGACACATATTGCGGAATGCTTTAATTTGGTAACCTCAAGGCCAAAAGAAAAGAGTAACACCTATGAAAACATTACGCCTAGAATTGGAGGCGGACGTGAACAGAATTGGATAGAACTAGAAAGGAAGGCTTCGGACATAGCTGGTTGGACAACGCTGATTAGCGAACTATGCTCCATTAAGGCGGTAACAGATATAAGCAAGTGAGTACTTTTCTATTAAGTTACAATAGATAATAACATGTACTGCGACATGCTTTACCATGAATAAAATAAAGTATTTGGTTCATTGTTACAACTCAGTTAGATTGACTTATTCAATAGTGTGAAAGAAGTCTCATTCCTACTTTCATATGTTTGTACACAAATTATAGACTTAAAGATGACATCCAAAATAACAAATTTGAGATTTGATTGAATAGTTTTACAGAAATTAGTTTATATTTGAGATAAACTCAACGGAATATTTGAATTGAGAAATAAGAAGACATATTTTGTGAGATAGTACCATTTCGTGCTTTCTCGTCAGTCACATACAAGCAACATGTTATTTGTGTAAATACAGTTTTTTGAAGATAAGGTCAAAATTTCTTATTCAACATGACATTCACTCACTAGAACCATGGTAAACTAAGGTCGACATACAGTTGTTTTTGAACACATAAAGTTGGACTTTTCCGACCAATCAAGATAGCTTCGAGTAGTTTCAGTGTGTGTGGGTTTTGATGACATGTCACAACTCTAAAGGCTGCTTTTGGGTCAATTTGATGACCACTCATTATTAGATGTTTTGCAATGGACGAGGCTGGGTTTCTTGATCGATTTTGAGATGATGGGCTAGGTTGATGAATCAACGAAATATTATCAAAAATAGCACTTGTACTTATGAACTGGATGAAGAGATACATTGAAGTAATGACGTAACACATAATTATTCACAACCAATCTCATGAACAAGTCGTTAAAAAGCACACATTTCGCTTATTTTTACTCTTCTGATTGTTAAAAAATCCCCATTTTAAAACAACACCATTCATAATACTCTGTAAAGTCTTGTGTCAATAATTAACTTATTTCTACTGTGAAGAGGCTTTAGGAGACTTGAATTTCTTAAAAACATAGGCATACAAAATTTTTCACTCCTTAAGTTTGATATTTGAATAAAATTAAATGCCAACTTAGTCAAATCTGAAAAATTGTTTTTTACAGATACAAAAATGCACTATGTACTGTTTTCTCTTGTATTCATAACATTGAATATAGTTTGAACTTACTGTAAAATAATTGTAAGGCGATTACATCAATCTTTTGAACATAATCTCAAGTTCACCGTAGAATATATATATATATATATATATATATATATATATATAGAGAGAGAGAGAGAGAGAGTAAATACTCTGAAGCATGACTAAACTAATCAATAAATTTGAGGAGGGTCATTTCATTTGAGTAAAATAGTACTGCTACTTCATTACATAAATTATAAACTGATTCGACAATAGAAAATTTTCTTTCACATATTATTGGGTGTGTTTACAGGTTTTCATTTTTTACAATATCAGTGTACAAGTGTGTGTGTGCGTGTGTGTGTGTACATATTTGTACTCGTGTATACTTGTGTATCTAGGTGTATGCTTACAAAGTAATTGATGTAAACCAGTAATTCATTATGTCACATGTTGATCAAGCTTGTTGTTTTAGTTCTAGGATTGTAAAAATTACATTTAAAAAAATATTGAAATAGAATGAATAATACATTTTATAAAGCTATTTGATTAGAATTATGTAGAGAATCCTTATGATATGATAATACTTAATTACACCTGTTACCTCTAATGTGGTAACATAAGCTGCTGACCAGCCTACTTTAACCTACTCCGTCCTGGGCTTTCACTTCCAGTTCCACCCGATTCCTGTCCGTTCTTTTCATGATTGTTTTCAGTTCTCGGTGCACTTTTTGTTCCTTGGTCTACCACTTTTCCTTTGGACTTCTTGACTTGAAGTTAGGGGTTGTCTTGTGTGATATGGTTGGGTGCTTTCCTCAATATGTGAGCTATCCATGTCACAGCACTTTTTCCTAATTTCTCCCCAAGCTACTACTTATTTTAAATTTAGTAGTATGAACTATTTTGCTTTCTCTAAATTCAATTTTCATTTCCTTAAGCAATTCATTCAAAACTACCAGTGTTGAGTTCGTTCATTAGTATCACTGTTGATCAAGATCCAATGACCAATGCGAAAATATTGCGATGCATTTATTTCTTCAATAATGATTCGTTTTTTTCAGAAAATACGCTTATTGAGAGCATGCATACAAAATACATTCACTTCAAGTGATATGGATATATTTCCATTAGTTTGTTGCCAATGATTACTGATAGGCGATTTGATAATACAACTTCATTGAAAATTCTCTGATTCAATGGTTAGAAAACAGGGTTGATGCATGAGGAAGTGTGTATTTTCAAAATGCAACAAATGACTAATGTGTATCCAGAGCTTTGAGTAGGTAATTAAAGGATACTTACTTGTATGTATAAACTCATTGGTTCAATTCTTATCATTACAGGTTTCATAAGCGTATCACTCTAGTTCTGGATAAACCTTTGTTATCTACTGATAATGAAAATAATGTGTAGAAAACTGCTGTCCCGGATCTATTGTGAATTACAATACAAACATGTAATACCTCGACTAACTAAATATGCTGATAATCATTGATTAGTTCAGCAATACAAAGGTGGATAAATATGAAATGTGCATGAAAACAGATTTGATAAATATCATACACTAATCACTTATAATTTTCTAAAAACCATTGAACTAACAGTTACATTTCCAGTTGATCAAAAAAATGGAATACGATCTGCACTACAAGACCAAACGAATCTAACCATTGATCACTACTACTCACTGTTCATTCAGTTGTCAATATCTAAACTTTACAAGAAATCACTTATAGTTTGAATAGCTGAATGGTAGAAATCTCAACCTATGAAGAAATCCAACGATTCGATTGTTCATATCCATCAGATATCATTTGCTTCATCAATAATTCCATGTACAAAGTGCTAACAAATTCCAACAAATCCCTAGATTGATCAGAGTTAGACATTAAGACCGTCGGATATCGGTTCAGTGGTCTAGAGGTTAGTTGTTCTTGTGCGAGGCAGAAGGTCTTGTGTTCGAATCATGTGGGTGGCATGAGTCGTGGATGATGATGAGTCCCATGCTAGGACAAAACGCTCGTCCAGTACTTCCAGGCTTTTAACGATGATTTAAAACTGATCGGTTCATGATTTCGATGTAAATACCAACTAGCATGAAATCTAAACATTAAGTTTCATGCTAACCACATAACACCTGTATTATATTGATTTTTTTATTATTGCTTATCAATCATCCTTTGTTTTTCTAAAACTTTTTCTTGAGTAAGTGCAAATAAAATGTTTCTTTTTTTTAAAAAAAATCGATTGTTTTCGTTTTAACTTTATTCCTGGCTACTTTTGTATCACAACACATTAAGGGAGCGGCAGTGAATATTACTTGTATTGATTATTATTATAATTTATATAAATTATTCATAAGCACTTAAAGAAAATTTTATTATTATTATTAGTAGTAGTGGTAAAACGTGAAGTATAATATTTAAAGTAAACAAAACTAGTGAACATTTAATCTTGTATATAAAGTGAAAAGATTATGATCTTTTGGTTATTTGTTTGTATGTCTGCCAGTCTCATAAATATGTACAATTTTTAATGAAGAGATGAGAGTTTAATAGAAGTTGGTTTAGTTTGTAGATTTTATGCGTTATATAATCGTTTGGTCTCGTGTGTTATGTGATGATGTCTAATGTACCCGTTGTCTTAGCTGAACTTCAAATGAAATCAATCTGTGACGATTATGATCTAGAAAAGCAACTTTGTTTTTAAAAGAGCTCGTCGAAATGTTACTTTACACCTGTTTATTATTGTAAAATAAACTTCACTAAATGGTTTGCATGTCAAACTTGAGTAATATCACACCCGAAATATTGATTTAAAGTTTCTACATACAATGTTAAATAAAATGGATTATGTAGACTTCTTGATCTAGTTAACCGGGCCGCGCAAAATGGATTAGAATAGCCTATCGAGTCAATGAGTCACTGCTTCGTCCCGTTATCGAGTTACGTGAACCCGTAATAGTTTCACGCACATCAATCGACAAGTATATCAATAAAATACGTATCCGAACTATCTCATTTGACGTACATTTATGACCTCACTAAATGTTTTTTCATCGTTACCTAGTAATCTATATTTAATCTCGGTATTCCTCCCTCAATCGTCGTTGACTAAACAATAATGCTTCGTTCTACACCTGTCCTCTGTTCTTAAAGACCACGTTTAACCGGTACAAATTAAAACAGAATAAACTGCCCCATTCTATACTTATCCTTGGTTCAGAAAACAAAATTTCGCCTACACTAGAAGTCGGCAAGCCTAACAAGTCTTATGAATTTGTGGTAAGATTTCGTCAAACACCAGCCTATCATGTGTGAGGCGTTGTCATTGCAGTTGATGGTATAGTTTCCTCACTATCATTCGAAAAACCGAAGGAGAGATACGATAATAAAACGTGTTCGTTTTACACAGTAAAATATAGTAAACTGATTTAATTATCAGATAATCTCAAATAATACATATAACGGTGATGTGTGACAGAAATAATCAATCTTATCTTCAGCTTGCTTAACCTTTTTTTGGGTGAGAAAATTGGTAATTAACTAGGAAGTAGTAATTGACAAACTGAAGATATTACATACAAGTCATCGGTACATATACATCTTTGCTTCTGATTGAGATGAAGGCATAAACTAGATGCATAATCAGTATCCTCTTATAGCGTGTCATGTTTATCATCCTTATTACGAGATCGCATGTGAACATATTTGTGGAATTATTTATTCTGTGATTCACATGAACATGATATACAGTTTTAGTGTTATGCTAACTATCAAATTTTAAAATAATCAACATGTCGAAAATCACTTTCTGTTTCAGTTTCCTCACCCGTCGAACATTTCTCACAGAATATCTTACTAACAGTCGAATGTATTCATGATCATTTTCTTCACAACAATCCGCCTGGAGCTCTTCTCGTTAATACTGCCTGTCCCAAGCCTCGATAAAGGTAAAGGGTTGGCCGTGGCATTCATCAAGAGAATGAATAGCAGTTAGATAGAAATGGAAAGCAAGATCCAGGATAAAGTAGGTTGGTGAGTGTTAATCTGACGCTAATGCTCCACTAGGAGTAAAAAGCGTAAGTAGGCAATTTTCTTTAAAACTTGATTTCAACCAACAAATAAATGGTAGATAGTACGAAACAGAGATCACATTCAAGCATGAGGCTGTTTAAATAAATATGGATTCAGTACACGGAACTAATGAGCCCAGATAAACGCAAATCTTTATTATGGGTTTTGAAGTTATTTATGGTTGCTCTTGCTTCCACGAAAGTGCTAGAAATAATCAGATGTGGCTGTTAGGGTACATAAAGCCTAAAAAAATGTCTTGATGGTACATTCTAATGGTTATTCATTATATCTCGGCTGTGAAATCTAAGTTAACTACTGAAAGTGACAAAACTAAAAACAAACTGTTTTTTGCTATGAAATTTATCAAACCTTGTGAATTTTTTGTATATAACCAAACTACTTAAAAGTAGTATAGTTTTCTTTCGTAAATTTAGATTAGGTTATACGATAGATGTTACCAGATAATTGGATAGATCATCAGTTGGTAAAGATACTTTGAAATATTAGTCACTTTCCTTTTCCCTAATACCTACGTCAATCCTTGTTTTAGGCGAATTCGGCGTATGAAAATGACTGTTCATCTTTACTTCGTTTAATTCCATATAATGACAAATAATATTTTGTACAATAGGTCAGCGTTGTCCACTTTTACATTTACCTATGAGGTACAAGGATAAATATCCAAATACACAAGAAGTTTTTAATTGCTGTGCCCTTTGAATCTTAATTAATCTATCTTCTCTGATAAAACGGGATAACTGTAACAGTGAGGTGGTGTCATGAGCGGTAGTGAAACGAAGCAAATATAATACGCAAATCCGCCTGGAGCGATTCAAGGAAAACTATCAGCCCAAAGACCGAAGAAGGGGAATTTAGATACAAGGCTACTAATCCTATCCCTTAGAAAACAACATTGTCACAAGAACATCAAAAAGAAATATGATACCCGATTACGACTTCACAAGTCCATTTAAGCAATATGTTCTGGAAGCTCTGTTTATTGAATACACTTGCAACAAGACCTAAAGGTGTTGACTTTTATCCCCAAAAAATCATGAGTGTGAGCTGCCAGAAATTCCCATAGCATATATAACGAGACAACTATCTAGTTCTTTCCAATTTTCCCTAAATATCTCCAACTTTTAGGCAGCTTTATGGTACTGGTAACATCTAGTAATCTCCACAAACTTCTGTAATGAGAAATTATCACACGGTTAATGCAGTGATATATATATATATTAATGCTGTTGGACATATCTGATAGTCCTCAAATGACCTACTCGTTTGGCCACACCTGAGACTAGCTATCTATATTATATCATTATTCACAGTCTACAATTGAACAATTTTCATCAGTCTATGAATTGAACTCAATGAAAGCAAACAAGAGTGAGTTCAGCAAGCCTTCTATTCAAAATCAAAATTCAAAAATATATGTATATTGTAATGGCGAAAGACAGCAGTAATTATCACTAGACTTCGGCATTTTCATCATCTTCATCAGCATTAAATTCGTCCTGTTCTTCTTCCACTGTACCTTGAGTTCTTGATAATTCATCATTTACAGTTGATTTATTGTCAGCTTCATTACCATCATCATCATCATCTTTGAAATCGTCCTTCGGAAGCGTATCTTGTTGGCTAACAACTTCATCATGTTCAGACTGATTGATGTCATCATCATCCTTGGAATCGTCTTTCGGAAGCGTATCTTGTCGACTAACAACTTCATCATGTTCAGACTGATTAATTTCATCATCATCACCTTTGGGCTCTGTCTGATCCCGGTTTTCATCATCGTCACCATCATCTATTCGTTTTGTCCTCAATTCATCCGCTTCCGATTTTTTTCGTGTTGGTTGTTGTTCTTCAGAAACTTTTCATGTAATGAGAACAAACAGTTATAAAAAAAGGAGTCAGCATGTTGATAATTGGAAATTAACTAATAGTTATCTTAAAGATTGTATCACTTAACCTAGAAACTTAACACATTACACAAGGGTGAATGCGTAACCTCTAGACCACTGGTTCCTTGCTATCCAGTGGTGCACATGCTAAACTTTGATCATGTCACTTGTGACTTAGCTATTTCAGTCTACCAAAATGAACTTTTTGAGAAATATATTTCAAAGATTTCATGAAATTTTTATTCTAACAATGAGATTCACTTCTCCCTCAGTCACTTACAAATTAGAACTTCGTACGTAAGTACATCAGTTCATGTTGCCATACCACATTAGCACAGAGATGCAATTGTCAATTCAAATCCCACAGTGGTAGAGATAGTAGAAGAATCAATACTAATGGAGAAGATTAGGATTTGAAAATATTATTCAAGGAGTATAATTCAGTGAGATAAGTTTAGAAAGACAAATGTAGAGGTGCTGATGAATCCAGAAGATTAGGATCTGAGTAAACATAAAGAGTGGATGCACCTGCTCCATTACAAACGGTTTTGAGCCATGTCATTCAGGGTCTTTAACCATCGATTATTATCATCTCTCTGATCCCAACCAGATAGCCTACATCTACCAACATGAATCAGTCCACTTGTCAGTGATTTCATGGATTTCTGCCATGTTTTTAGCGGGCAAAACAAAACATGGCAGAAATTGTGTTTAAATATTCCATTCTATTTAGTAGCACCAATGAATATTGAAACACAATATTGGTCACTCTTCAGCGATCAATCTATTGTAGATGTGTGAACCCCTGTCATATGCCTAAACAACAAGCATTGAAATCCTATAATCTAGCTTGTAACAAAATACTTGGGAGTTTGATGCTAGTAACCGGTATTTTTTGCTGACTAGTAAATTTTCATCTATAACTTGCTAGTCTGTTTAAAAAAAACACTTTAATTACTGAAAATGAATAAACTTACTATATTCTGGTTGAATATTCCTAATTGAACTGAAGTCATAATGAAAGTCAACTTGTTTTAACACAAGGTGAACTATTCATTTACTGACCTCATTGTTATCTCTCATTTAATACCATCATAATTAATTGTTACAATATAATTACTATACTGTATGACCTTACAAAAAACACTATTAATTTTATTAAAGTAAAAAAGATAATTACCTGTTTCTGTAATATCGAATAGAGAATTTATTGCCTCATCACTTAGCGGTTCAATTTTTGTGGCTTTCCATCGGGGAATTATCTTATTTTCTTCATCTTCTACCATTTTCTCATCACTTATCTACAAATATTTTGGATAGAAAATTTAAATATTCATACAGTAATAATCATTTTAAACAAATTTATTTCATCAATGTAGAACGCCGTACGTAAGAATGATACTGCCGATTAATTCATCGACTGATTTAAAACTGAACGTGAAGAAGTCAGTCATTTACAACGTAGAGCATCGTACGCACGTAGATCAGTTCAGATCGCCATAAAATATTAGCACAGGGATGCAATTGTCAATTCAAATCCCATTGGGGTAGAGATAGTTGAAATGTTAGCTGTAATGGAGAAGATTAGGGTTCAAATATAGTATTCAAGAAGTATGTCCTAGTGAAATAAAATGAAAAAGAGAAAGTTAGAGGTGATGAGCAATTCAGAAGATTAGGATTTGAATGAATGCACTTGCGCCATTGCAAATTATTTTGAGCCATGTCGTTCAAGGTCTCTAACCATTGGCTACTGTCATCGCGAAGAACCTAACCAAGTGGTCAACACCTACCAACATGGCTCATTTCAGTTATCGATGAATTCATGGATTTATGCCTTGTTTTTGGTTTTGGCTGCCCCTTTATATAATACATATATGTAGTATGTACATACATATATTATGTATATGTTGTATGTATAATGTTTCAAACAATGATACATTAGGTAAGCTCCTTATAATAACTAATCTTTCTTTAATAAAATAAAGACTGTATAATGGTTACTTAATAAATACCATGTGTATTTTTCTGTATATAAAAAGTAAAATCTTAATTTTCCTAAAATGATCACTTACAAAACAACATTTCAACTTAGGTACTATGTTATAATAATTAGGTTCATTAGTTATCAAGTTCTTCTTTAAAAATTTGACATCAAAATTAGGTGTACTGTATAAAATTTGAATGAACAAAGATAACTTTGATAATCAAATAAGCTCTTTTCAAATTCATTACATATTTACTTTTTCTTACAAATTTTGATCACATTGTCTTGTTTCTCTTGGCTGATAAACATTGACTGACCTAATAAAAATGGGAATTTATAAGAAATTTCGGTGATCATAACTTTACTAAGTGATGAATGTTGAGATATTTGTTTGTCACCTGTTATTCCTAATATATGAATACCTATCATACTTGACAGAGTGTGAAAGATATATAATAGCATATCTAACTGGTTATAAGAAATATAGATCAGTAAATAATTATTGCATATTTAGACATATTAGTACACACATCAAATAAAACCAGTCACATATATTAGAAACATTTTGTGGAAGTTTTAATTGACTTTAGTTAAGAAGTTTTTTAAATCACTTTTTACTAAGTAAATGAAAATATTTAAGTTAAAAAGTCAATACGCTACTTATTTCAACTTCAAGAATAAGAATGTATTTTAATATATATATATATATATATTTAGTAAGGCAACTAGTGTCCTATGTTAGTAATATCAACAGTATCTTGTTGTTAAAGCAACATTTGACTTACTGCTGGGGTAGCTAAATATTCGCCTGTTTGCTGACAACTTGAATTTTGAAAAATATATCTTCCTTTACCAACAACCTAAATCGAAATAAATGATGTTCCTATTAATTTAGCGACTATGAAAACATAAAATACTGGTTTTTCTAAAGAATACGCAGAAAATATATTTATAGACATTAGTTCAGCTAAAAATCACAAGTGGTTTCAGGCTAATTTTCTTACTGCGTGCGTCTAAAGTTTTAGATAAGAAATGTATCAATTTCAGGTTTCAATGCAAAATTTTTCTGACAATGAATAGTTTTTGCGAGGAAACCTCTTAGAGTGTGTAGAATTACTCATCATTAAACGATCCAAGCAAAAACACACATCTTGACATTAACAGATTTTTAAATGATGAAAACGCTTCTCTAGCCTTGTGACAACAAATCAAACCAACTACAAAATAGGTATATAAATTGCACTGCAATTCTCACTGAAATGAAAATAGCTTGTTCCGAAATATTCGTGGTCAAATATATAAACATTTTCTAGTTTGAAAAATTGATCCACCTTCTGCTAAAGTGAGAAATGAGAAAAACATATGGAACTGATTTCTATCAACTGTCTGAAACAAATCAATACATTTAAACTTTTTGGTTATAGGTGCTTTGATGTATGAGTGTTTATGGAATAAATTGATGTAATATAAAACCAAACACAATTTACACGAATATAACTGCAGATAAACCACTTATGAAGTGGTGCATCCATACATCATTTGATTTGTTTTAAGAGTCAATTATAAACTCATCATCAGTTGTCGGTTTTCATTACAATCCGTTCGATTTAGGGTTCATTACGGACCATAAACCAGTTAAGTATACCAGACAACATACTCACTAAAGTAGTACGACGTAAAGTTTCTTATTACTAAGTAACAAAGTCTAACAAGTATTCCTGCAACATCAGGTTTTTAATAGATAAAGAAATATAGATTTACTAATAGCTATTATCGGTTGATTTACCACTAGGTGCAACTAACATAAGTATTAGAACATAAAATTTAAGGGTGAGTTTAGTCAACGATATACAACCACAACAAGCAGTGATCCAGTTTCTGATAAACTGTTCCAAATTTGTGCATAGTTGCAGGATTTGTATAGTATAAAATAAAAAGAGTAGAAAATAAATTGTCAGGATGCAGTAATAAATCCATTACCATTCCATCTTTCCAAAATCCAATAAAGCGGTGATGAGGATGAACTAGTTCTCCATGACCGTTCATCTTTCCAGCTTTCCAGTTTCCGACATACTGTAGTTTAGTCGAAGCGAACGTATATGTACCTCTGCCATGTCTTAAATGATCTCTCCATTCTCCTTCATATGTATCGCCATTAATATAAGTATATTTTCCTTTACCATACCGTAATCCCTCACTCCAGCCCCCTAAATAGGAATTGCCACATTTACATTTCATACAAACCTTCATAAATGGAACCGTCAGGGTAATAGAATGTTCCTCTCCCTTGTCTTTTGTTATCCTCATAATTTCCATCATACCGTGCACCATTTTTGAATCTTTGTGTATTATATATGAAATTAAAAATACCTATACACTCCAGCTCCACTTCTCTTCCCGTTCTCATACATCCCTTCATATGTGTCTCCATTTGGAAGTATGGCTTTACCGTAACCATGTCGTTCATCACGTTCATTTCGACCTCCTTCGTATTCCTAAAAGTTGATTATGCCACAAAAAAACTTACCCCTAAATAAACGCCCTCCTCCTCTTCGATTTCTTCGGCTTCATCGTCAGACATTTGAACCCTAGAATGTTGACAATCAAATGTTTACTATAAGTTCACTATGACGACAGCTTTGTATGATCACATCAAAGAAATGTGATTCAATAAATTCAATTGCCAATGTTCAACATAGATCAATTCATAGCACACTACTGATGTTCTAATTTCCAATATCTTTCCCACATGCTGATATAAACAAGTTGATTTCCTTGGGTTCTAGTCTTGTTCTATCGGTACCGCAAGAGAAAAAGTATTATAAACCTTTATTTCGCAGAATGTTTTGCTAGGTTATGTTATTTGAACTGAACGCAGAAAGCTTTTAAAAACCAGATCCGGAAAAGTTTAAGATAACACCAGGTTTTGGCACTTTAGCTAGTAAGTTCGTCAGTAAGTGTCGAGTAACCAGAAAATTAGGTTCAGACGACGCAGCAACCAGCCACCGATGTACAGGCTCGTTAAAAGACTATCATTCATTCCGTGGCACATATTTAGATTCAGTTTATGCTTAAGGATGGTTGCATATTGGACTACGGCTTGCTGAACGACAGAAAGATACAACAAGGAAACCCATCAGAATTCTACTTGACGATAATAAAGTCGAGAGTATGTTTTACAAGCAACTAGAATAACAGTTAAGCTGCCATGAAAGTGATAATCACCACTAAAAAGCTTGAAATGATATCCGAAAATCCATGGAAACGGCAGTGATATCTGCTAGTAAGGTAAACCACAAGACTAGGAAGAATCTGTGGACCTCAGCAGCATCCACCGAAGTGATAGACGCACGTAAACTCATCCTACCTGACTCAACATGACGAAGAGCGAAGCCAGCTTGAGAGCAGAGTGATAAACAGCCTACATAATAATCGCAAACAGTGGTGTGTGGTGAAAGCGAGAGAGATGGAAAAGGCAGAGGCGATAGGCTACAGCAGAGTGCTGTTCCGACTTATCAAGCAACAGTAACAGGAATCTGACTGTAAGGGAAACTCTCCTGGAGAAGGATCGGATTAATATTCATTCAGGAAGTTCGATGGATAAGAAGAATATTCTCGAGACCAGTTCAATGCGCCTTCAGTCACTTATAGGTTACCCACGATAATCAGTCAACCTGGTTGGCGACCTGATGTAAATACTCCAACACTTAATGTATTTGAAAAGTCTAAGGGAAATGTGAAGCGTGGGAGATCATCGGTTACTGCTAAATTGACGACTGAAAGTTTTAAGGATGGTGAGCCAATTTTAGCAGAGAGACTGAGATCTAAGGTAGAATCTTAGAAGTGTACGTAATCCTCTCTGACTCGTCTCAACCATTGATTGCCCCAGTCTATAAAAAGTGAGCAAAAGTGCTCTTGTTTCAATCACAGAGGGATGACTTTGACGCATATAATGTCTACGATACTGGCTTTAAATATAATTCGACGCCCAACAAAGGGTGGAACCGAAGAAAAAATATGTAGAAAAAAGGCTGGTTTCACCCCAGGATATGGCTCTAAAGACAGGATATTCACACTCTGACAGGTCCTAGAACATAGACTCAAATATCGGCGACCGGTTAGTTATATTCCTGGACATCAATGCAGCATTTAAGTCTTTCAATTTAGGGGTTATATGGCAGTGTTTTTTGTTGAATAGAGTTCCAGGGAATTATATTATCCTCATTCAAGCTCCCTAATCTAACACTAATAGTAGAGTGAGACCTTATGGAGAACTGCCATCGGAATTCAGTCCACAGGGATAACAGCTTTTATACCCCTTGTAGTCTCATTTTGGATAAAACTAATTAAAGTTTCAAGAAGCTTGCACTATTAAAGCAGCATAATAATTGAAAGCCTTCTAATGGTGAATCCCAGTTGACTAAGGTCACCACTACAGATCAATTTCGTGCCCGCCACAGTCAAGATAAAAGAATCCATGTGAGTGAATATATATGCTGGCGATTTCATGCCACTGAAAGAATACCGAAATCGTGCCAGAAAAGAGTGGCGAAATTACAGAGACAGCGGAGCCGAAATGGCAGCCACACAAACTGTAAGTTTGCGCGTACTGAGTGTGATAAACAAAAAGTACAGCAAAACAATCACTGATACAACTGGTTATAATATTGAATGTTTCTATTAAATCACTCGCGTTCTCTTCATAAAAATGAAGCCATTACCGTAGCCCAAAGGTAGACGGTGTTCACACTTTCGATACATAGAGGCTTCGTTCGTGGGACTGATCAGCAAAACTTATTGAACGGTTTACAATTTTACTACAATATACGACTGATTTGTTGGACGTTATCGTTTATCGAATTCTTTCTCCCAGTTTGTACTCATAACCGCACAATAGATTTCATTTCTGTGATTTAATTTCTGCTTTGAATCAAAAAGTCTCAGTCATTTGGAGAAAAGCTTAAATTTAAAAAAGTCTTAGGTAATGACAATGATGTCTAGATTAGAAGTGAGTTTTTGAGTCTTAGGTATGAAGTGTTGATCTAAGAGCATTTAAAAAAAGAATTAAACAGAAGTCTCTCAGTGAGCTAAAACATTTAACTTCGGTCTCGTGCCCACATCAGTTCAAATCGAACTGTCGATTCAAATCCCATAGTAGTCGAGATATTGGTGGTATTGGAGAAAAAGTGTAATCCAGTGAGATTGATTTAAAAACATAAAATAGAACGTAGTGACATCACCAAATCAGAATCTGAGAGAATGCAAAGTGTAGATACATCTGCGTCAGTGCAAACGATGTTACGCCAAGTGACTCAAAATCCCTAGTCATCAGTTACTTTCAGGTAGTCCATTTGTTTCGAATGGGCTGCCCCCAGCTTTCTTCCAACTGATCCCAAAACCTCAAAACAGCTCTTCGAAGCCCTCGGTTTTCGAGCTTATGAGATACATGTCCTCACCAACTTAACTGACCAAGATTCAGCACTTCAGTTTTTCATCTGCCATCCTTATTTAGTACCCCCATCCTAATGACAGCTTTGGTTACTAGATTGTTTCATTATAGACAAACAATGCTTCAAAAGCACTGTTGATCGAATATAAGTTGCCTACGAATATCCTCTGTTATTTGTGGCCGTGCTTCGTATATTAGGACAGGGCAAACTAATATGTTGTAAACTTGTACTTCAGTGCTATTAATTATCGGAATTGTTGAACCTTCGCTTTTTACACTTGTAGGATTTCCGATCACGAACAGACTACTATTGTACGTTTTAACCATGGCAAGTTATTAATAATCTACTACCGATTTAATAAACAGTTCTCTTTCACATACGGAGTAGCTATTTGAATGTGTAACTTCTTAGTTCTGGTGCTGTGTGGTAAGGATTTTACTGTCACATAATTAATTAGTTCAGTCATGAAAACGGACTGTACTACTAGTGTTCTGGACGTTAGGTCCCCAGAACCCACTTGATAAACGTCTTTATTTTCGATTTTATTCATGGGCCAAGCGGTCGACCTTGAGATCACATTTCCCACCAGAAAAATACATGGCTGCGACTGGATACTGTATTATTTTAGCGACTCTCTCAAGGACGTTTCTATGATGTATATATAAACGCGATTTGCGTGCTTGGGATTATTAGGCTGGCTGAGTGTTTGTGGAATACACTTTCTACGCTATATCAGGACTTTTAGTTAGTTCCTTCGGGTCAACGTATCACAGTAACCTACTCAGACACTGGTTTGTTCTCATTTATCGACTCAGGTGAACCCGTAATAGTTTCAAGCATAGCAAGTGACGACCATAACAAACAACTAGGTGTTATCATCTTGCTGTTTTGGTTATCAGACAGGGAAATATAAGAAACTGAACTGCAGTTGAGTGTTTTTAACTGCTCTTCTCAACATAAGTCAGTTTGCTAGCTAGAAAATTCCACATCACTCATAGAACGAATTCAGGAGCGGGTTCAACATGGTGTAATGAAATAGGAAGTCTCAGTTGTTTGCGATTTTCAGGTGGTTTAACTTGTTGGTTGCCGTTGTGAGGTTCATTGTTCAAGATTTCAACTAATATTACTGATTAGGAAGCTATTCACTTCGTAAGTAGTCCAACACATACTAGATGTTTTGCCGGTATACACCTCCTGACATTTCTATTGACTTATTGACCAGATCTTTATGTGAAAAGCTTGATAAGTGGCCAAACCTAGAAGTGCAGTATATTGGCACTCGCACAAATATGATTATCAACGATAAACGTATAGTTATGCGGTGTGGCATCCTATGTTGGCGCCCGTTTCAGGTAACCAGTTGCGTACGTTGTACGCAAAAGCTATCATATGACGAGGTGGTTTTCTGGGTTGGTCTTTTAAATCATTGTTTAACATGTCAACTGGTCAGAGAATTGACAAATCGAAAGAATACCCCCACATGTCCCTATATAATCTCTTCGTCTTTAATCAACATCTAGGCTTGGTATCTGGCTTACAGTCAGAATGGAATACCACCTTCCTACTCTAGTTCGACAGCCAGAGGAACACAGTTAAGTGTCGCGTGGACCGAACATTATATTTCCCCACCTGCGACTGTCAGTAGTGTACATTCCTGGAAGGTATTAGGTTAGCGAGTAGAAATATTCTAATAAAACTGCTCGTGTGGTTGAAACATTAAGTGGCGTATCAGTAACAATGTACGGTAAAACAGAAGAAACCGACAGTCGTAAGAAACCACTGCAGATATTTATACTCCATGTATCCTAAACTAGCCATGGTTACAGAACGAGACTGTAAGCAATGCAGTTTCCCTGTACAAAACTTCAAGAATCACAAGTGAAGTGACTTGGCGTATATCACCCTACAAAAAACATGTTTTATTTGTTAGATGACTGTCAGCACATGTCATCAAATCACTGGACGACAATGAAACAAACTATACTTCAGTAAACAGTCCTTTGTATTCATCAGCTAAGAGATTCCGCGTTATTTCCATATCTGATACCAGTACAGTACGGTAAACGCAGTTTAATCACAGGAGCGATTTAAAAGTCAGTGAATTTAGAAACTTGTTACATGATTCTGTAATCAAATTTGTCTATGCTCTGATTCTTTATACGGAATCATAAATCCAAAGTTCAGTAACTATGAAATTAAACCATTATAAGGCTAAATTATGCAATCTGGAAGTAATTCAATAATGCAAATGAACTTAATTCATCATTTTAATGCAAATATAAATATATGGAATAAATTCTGTTATCCAAACTGGGCTAAATAAAAAAAAAACATGATTACATGTATATATACTGAAGGCAGTAGTGCAGTAAGTCAACAGTTTTTTATAGAAAAACACAGGCATCAAATTATCCATAAAGTAAAAAAAGACCACATAAAGCAAAAATCACATAAGAAAAATTCAGAAAAGCAGATGTTCTTTGATCACGATTATTAAGTCATTGTACCAAAAACAGGATTGTGACGGCATATAGCTGGACCGATTTCTTCATATTGTGCTTTAGTGTGGCATACGTTGTAAAATTCACTCTGAGTGGGAGAAAATTCAAGTTAATACAAACATTTAAAAAATAACTAATAAAAACCTGGTAATGTAAATCTTTACCCTAAGCTCACCACTAGCCTACAAGCAGTGGAGTAAATGTATACAAGTGGATCCCCCTTAGCAAATGTCCTACGAGGATTTAAATATCGTAGCAGGAGAGATTCAACCAGCAAATAAAGGAATAGTTCACTGAAAATTAGCTTTCTCTGTTCTAATATAAGGGTGTGAAATATAGCTACCAGGAAAAAGGTCTTTGTAGGTTCCTGATATTTTATTAAAGTTGTCTTTCAAGAATCTTTCGAGTATTTTGAGACCACTGAATGAGCAGTGCAGAGTTCAGACATAAAGTTCCCGGTAAAAATAATATCAACACCCTACACCTTTTTTGTAGGATAGTGTCCAAAGCGTCTAGAACAGACAAGTTTGATGACCGAAAAACTATGAAAGAATCATTTATTAATCGAATGAAAAGAAAATAGTATCAAACAATCACTTTTTCACTGCTCCAAACCAGATGAAATAGAAAATGGTACTACATAATGTTAAGCCTTTGACCTTGTATGTTTTACCATGCCAGGAGAACGGTGAAACTAAAAGCAGCAACTTAAGATCTGGGAGGGAAGTTGAACTGATGACTATAGAGGGGTATAACAGCAGTAAGATGGGTTAGAAGAAATAGTGGACCGGATATTAAACCGTTCACCGAATAGAAAACCTACATGGAAAAGGCAACATCTCAAATACCATAGTCACTGTCTGATCAAGCATAAACGAGGGATAATCAGAAAATGTATTTTGTTGGTCAAACTGTATTCACATCAACGATACACTGTCAAAGAAGCAGCAAAGCTATTGGTAAAAAATTGCTCTTCAACAAAGTCCATAATTTGATGAAAATGCTGGAATATAATGAGACCTATGACGTTCTTGGCACACAAAATACGTATCTTCATCATCTTAACATTCACGAGAGACTTAAATAGTATTATGATGTAATGAAGACAAATAAGTGGTCAGTAGGACAAATGACGCAGCTCAACTCAAGGATTGTGGTTAACCGAAGGCCAAGACAGTTTCCTAACCAGTGTAGCATATTTAATTACGTCTACTAATCCATATGTACATACATTGGGAAAACAATCGTGATCTGCAAGTAAGGGTGGTTGAACACACATTCCAACAGTTAGAAAGTCAAACGAATCTCAAAAGGGCAATATACGCAAAGGATAAATGATCAACTAGCATCTTCATACGTTGCGACACATTTGCTTTATACGAGCCAATACAAAATCTAAAAAAGCGATAGTGTACCTACCTCATTAGCAAGCACTGAACCACCAAACCAGACAGCATAACGTTGCATAGGATGTGAAACCACTTTAACATCGATCGATTTCGGCTAGACAATGATAATAATAATAATAATAATAATAATAATCATACAGTGAATAAGTAAGATAAATATTGTCAGTTAAACTAGCTTATAGAATAAATATAGTCGAGACATAGTTTAGGAACTATACTAAGATATGAATTCCCATCGATTTAACATTCAGCAAAAAATATGATAATAACGAAAACAAATAACACTGAAATGGATATTGATTGTTGAATGATTTGCTTTATTCTATCCTGAAACTTATTTGAATTGTACGAATCATCCATGTTATACTACTAAGAATTCAGTTTATAAAATTAAAATTTTGTGATCAGGATGATATACTTTAACAAATCAGTAGGAATTCATAGTTCAAACTACAGTAAATTTTCACTACAGCACAGTCCATTACCACGTATCGTAATTAGTAATATGATCGACTCTACAAGACAGAGTTATCACAAATAGAACTTCAGGAAAGTAGTCAGGAATCTGGTAGATCAATAAATAGACACTATTATTTAGAAAGGTGACCTAGAGAAAATAGAAACAGATAACCAATTAGAAGCAATGTTATCGCATCGAACTTATTCGACATTTTTGAAGTAGACACAAATAATGAGGTTTGCAATGAAAATGGAAGCTTTGAAAATCAGGCTATTCATTATAGATAAACCAATGGGATTACACATATACCTAAACTGATATCAAGTGATTAAATAGAGCGGACAGAAAACCCTCTCTACTCGACAAAATTTTCCTACTAGTTGACACTTGTCCACAAGGTATACATGCAATCTTTGAATCGATTTCACAATTCGAGATGTTAATATTGACTTATATAGGCAGTAGTCGACTGCTTTTGTATAGAAATAAAATCCTTGGACTGGTTAATCATTCTCTTGAGTAACAGATAATCTGATACTTTCCTAGTTCCTAGTGGGAATCGAATTCTATCAATCAAATCAAATATTTTAAAGAGAATGATACAAAAACATTTACACTGACACTAATCGAAATCAACATTAAGGAAAACTGATATAGTGAGTTAATCAGAAGTAGCTGAATGAAAATACTATTAGGTGATCATCAGGAATGCCCTGAAAGACATAAATATACCATTTGTCAAGGAATGGCTTCATTTTCTAAGGTGGTGGAATATATACAATGTACATTTAGATATAGACGAGTATTTGCACAATATTCATTAGCCAAATATACTTTCTTTTCCACTCTTTCCTTCTCGCCGTAATAGTCAGTTTAGGGGGCTAGTGCGTATCAAGTTCAGATCTCGGACACAGCACATCAGTAAAAACCAGTTTTATACGTGAACAAATAATTGATTTGCTGTTATTAACTTCCTTCCATCTCAGTCGCGATTCAGTGTCAGTAGACAATACTTTAATGATTGAAAGATTGAAATCCTAATTGGTGAAAGTACTAAACAATAAAATTAGTTCCTAAATTATTGGCAATAAAACATTAAAATACATGCGCATAAACACGAATGTAGATTACCTTTACACGTCCGCCAGTAAGTTCCTCTGTTAATTTCAAACGGTTATCAACATTTCGTTTAATATCTCGTTGTAAACGACGATCAAGGTGTTTGAACATTGAACTACCTCCTGATAAAACGATATTCTGACAAAACAAAGCAGTGAGTAAATTTACATGAAAATATCTTGATTTTCGTTGAGCTTGATCAATAAAGTAAAGTGTCTGATAAAGAAAAGTTATATATATCTACCAGTTTACGTGGTCTGGTGGAACTTATCACATTAGTTGCACGAAGAGTGCTCTTTACAAACGCATACCCCAGTAATGTCTAGTATGGTGAATGTAATTCAGTCAATATACATCGACTGTAAAAATTTGGTCATTCGTCTCCAGTAGAATCTTAATTCAAATTTGTTCGCCAGGTAGACCAGATAAGTAAGTTGTGCACAGTGAAGGCATCAGCGATTAGTGCTTGTGTTCAGAAGCACTATATCAAATCGTTTAGTTTTACCATGGTTCTAACACTCCTTCATACCTTTTCATATCTCGATTCTATGTGTTATTTCATTCTTATCACTATTACGTAACTTTAGACTGACTGGTTTTTGGCACATTTGTTATTCATATAATAATTCTCTAGGTCATTACTCTATATTTAGAAACTACAAATATGATTGTACTGCTCAAATAAATAATATTACTGAGGAGATTCTCTTTCACGAAATGTTTTTGTTTTACTTAACGAAGCAATGGTAGAGAGGAATATATTTGTCGAAGAGGTTATACAGATTCTATGTATTATATAGGTAATTAAAATAATTTAGTCAGCTAGTATAAGGATAATTACTTTTGGTTGGGTGAATATTTATAAAATCACTATATTTCCTCCATATTTACATTCGACTTGCCACACAATTTTATTTTATTCACAACGCCAGTACCAGTGATCGAAGCTAGGAATTTTGGATAAAAAACATTTTCACCAACTTAGGTGACTAGAACGTGTATAACTTAAGCACGATTAATGCCTAACTTGATATATAATGCTAGTTAAGACAAGAATTAGGTAGAAAGAAAACTAGAGACATACAAACTAAGAAATATTGGAATGTTAGAATGAATCATGTTTGTAGGTTCACACTGAAAATATGAACCGATTAATGTGAGAGCATCAGTGAAAAGCTAGAAGCACTGGATGGCCGTTTCATCCCAGTATGAAACTCACTAGCAGTGTACATCTATATCCCTGCAAGCAAAAATCAAAACAAGGACCTTCGTTCCGGAGTGCGAACGCCTAACTTCCTGGATAATTGCCTTAAGGTCGGTGATCAGTATTTGTTGATGTTGCATAAATTCGCTGTGAATTTAAGCGCTCGTTCATGCATGGTATTTCTATTTCATCTTTTCAAATCATATTCTGAATAGTAAGTCTTTCTCCTCATTATCGCTAAAACAATTAATTTGATTTATTCATTATCGATATTGAAAATTTCACTTTGTCAAGCTGATGTGATATGTTAATTTAAGCATATACCTGTTTCTAGCATTGATTATTACAACAAACCATAAAAAAACATTGAAGATAAACACAACAAGGATTATTACGGTTGTGTGAATGAGATGCACTATTACTGATTAACTCACTAAAGATAACTAATTTATTATAGGACAAGTTTATGTACACGAATTTAAACCACACTATTTATTTCATGACTGGTAGTAATACTACTCAACTAAAAGATGGAACAATTTTCGAATGTATAATAAATGAGTTGGAAGTTAAAACTCCACCTAGTGCCCTTCTGAGGTTACTCCCGGTTACAAGCCATCTGATAGAAAGCCAACTAGCTAAAAAACGCTAATTGAAAATGGTCGGCAGCCTATGCTCCATTTCGAGTAACAGGCGTGAGTAGGTAAGTAAGTTAAATCTTTTAATCACCTGTACTTTTCACTTTCACTAAATTCAGTGTATGTGAAAACAAAAAAACCTATTTTAAAAGTGAATTTGAAATGAAACATCGGAATCACAGATTCAAAAAATTTCAGCGATTAGATTTTTCTGAATTTTTTCTGCTAAAGAAATCGCAACTACACAACCACACATAATCTACAAGTCTTGAATTTAAGTTTGTATAGGATAATGAATGAGCGTTCCAAGATGTAATTCACACACCAAATATTCTGGTGATCTTTTCTGGTTAGCGCTTCTTTTTCTTAGTAAGATTCTTTTTTATAGGATGAGGTTGCTAAGCCCATCCTTAATCCTTCTTTTTTTATCCAGGCTTGGCAACCACAATCAATCTAGAAGGGATTTTATTGAAGTTTTATTAAGTATATAATTGGTTCGTACACTTGGCTTTGAGTTACGCTGTAGTACAACGTAAAATTCCATTATTCCACTGTACTAATTGATGCCAACGGATGTAGGGATTCAAAAATCTGTACATTCCAAATCGTCAAAGCCTTTTGCATAGTTGAAATTATTTAGTCATATAAAACTACTATCATCAACTAAAACAATACAACTTCACAAATCACTTCCTAGCTTAAAGAAAATGCAAACTTTGATAGACATAACAACACTTAATGAATAAAAGCTAAAATGAAAGAAATATTCCATCTTGGTATTCATTTGATATGATAACCAGTCAATAATAAAATGAAAAAAAAAGTGAGAATATGATATGTGACAGAATTGAAGTTTATATAATACTACTATTTAGTACCACTGCTAATTATTTGTAAAAGATAAGTAAGCGCATATCATTTTCTAATGTAAACATATAAAATATCTGTATACCACAAATACAAGTACATATGTATATGCAAAACATGAGCATACACGCACATACACACACAGATAAAATGAATTCCTTTCAGCTAATGACATTGAAATATTGTGCATTGAGTATAAGAAATTCACTGATCAATTAACCTTTTCTATTGCATTCTATTTTCATTATAGAGTTGTAAGGCGTGTTGAGTTTCAATGCCGGCCCATAGGTCTAGAGGTTCAGAGTTTGCGAGCGGGACTAAAGGTCCTGGGTGTAACAATGGTCGATCTGTGATTTCAATGATATTTAATTATAGTCTATTTTTTGGAGTGAAGCAGTAGTTTAGTGAATATGGTGCCTAATGTCCAGCCATTAAGTATCGGGTTTGAATTCGGTTACACTTTGCTTCGGTTTAGGCAATCAATCCGTTTAATTAGCCTTCACATACTTAGAATGTGATTTATATCCAAGTATCCGGTAAATTAATTAAATCAAAGGCAAGTTCTTTGTCAGTCAGTTGCAACGTAGAACTTCGTACGTAAGTACATCAGTTCATGTCGCCATACCACATCAGCACAGAGATGTAATTGTCAATTCAAATCCAATAGTAGAAGAGTTAGTAAGGGTATTAGAAGTAATCGGAGAGGTTAGGGTTAGAAGATATTATTCAAGAAGTATGGTTAAATGAGAAAAGTTTCGAAAGTCAAAACTAGAGGTGTTGAAGAATCCAGAAGATTAGGATTTGAGAGAACACAAAGAATAAATGCACTGGCGCCATTGCGAACGATTTTGAGCCATGCCATTCAAGGTCTCTAGCCATCGATTATTATCATCTCGCGGACCCCAACCAGGTAGTCGACAATTACCGACATGGCTAAGTCCACTCGTCAATGACTTCATATATTTCTGCCATGTTTTGGTTTGGCCGCCCCTAACTTTCTTCCAACCTATTCCTACACTACAAAACAAAGCTCGTCGAGGCAGTCGGTGGTTAGGCATACGCAACACATGTCCCAACCACCTCAACTGATGAAGTTTCACCACTTCATCTATTGATCTGCCATTCTTACCTAGCACCCGATTCCTAATAACAGCAATGTTCACTCGGGTGTCCCACGATATACGAGCAACGCTTCAAAGACACCTATGATCAAAAACCAGTAACCTACGAATATCTTCTTTGACTATGATATTATAATGGGTAAAGCAGATTAGAGTGCTACAGATAGGATCGGTCTGTTCTAAGACTGTAGGTACGCTTATTAAGAATTACTAGGCAGTAAGAAACTTAAGACGAACAGGACTTTCCAGACCACAGATAAATTAAATACAATATAGAATTTCATTGGAATCACGAATTGATCAATGTTAGATACCTACTGGAAATCTGGAAGCACTGAACGATCGTTCCTTCCTAGTATGGGACTCATCAGCAATGCGTACCTACGACCCAGTAAGCTGGAATCGAACCTAGGATTTTCAGTCTCTTGCATGAACGCTTAAACTTTTGACTCCTGACTTGGAATTCAACAGTGTATATGTCTAACTTTAGTCAATTCATGATATTGCGAGACCATCAATTATTTTATTCGGTGGATAACTGCCTAACACCTGACACAGTTGAACTCCTTTGGTCTCGGCTTCTTATCAGAACTCTAAGAATTCTATCACGAAACTAGTCACTAGTGAGCATATGATAATTGTCAGTATGGGGTTGTGGGGGTTTCTGGGTTTCAAAGTTGGATGCCGGCTCAGTGGTCAACACGTTAAGTGTACAAGCATGAAACTGGAGATCTTTGGTTCGATTTCCGCTTGCGGAGTATTGGACGCGCACTATTGCTGATTTCCATACTCAGAAGAGATGGCCATTTAGTGATTTCAGGTTTCGTATCGTGGTCTAATACTGATCAGTGCATGAAACGAAACAATCTTTGCGATCCTAAAATGACAATTAAGAATTATATATTAGCTTACTCCGTAAAGTCCACGACGTGAATCAATCGGTGATTTTTGAATAACTTCATCTATAACATCACTTAATGAGGTTGTAAAATCTGGATTAACAAACTGAAAAAAAACAAAATATTAAATGCAATAAAATAAACTGAAAATAATGACTGAACATGAAAAAGCTGATTATCTATAGTTTAACAAGTAGTTAACTTATTACAACTAATAATCAAAGTTCAAATTATTTTCTTTATTAATAAATCAGGGATAAACTTCTAATTCGTCGTCTAATAGGGAGAGAATCAGTTCCTTTAACCTTACAGGAACATCATGTTTAGTGTTTGACTCTGTTGATCGTGAGATTTTACGGCACTGTTTATCATTGAAAGAAGTACTAAAGAAGTACATTAACCTTGTACAGGCTCCCTACTTGAACACTAATGGTCAACTCAGCTTACAGCGAACTGTCATCGGAACTCATTACTTCAAGTGGTGTTCGTCAAGGTTGTCTACTTTCTGCAATCTAATTTAACTTTGTCATTGACATGCATTTAGAGAAAATACTATTATTATCTGACTTTTCAGAATTTGACCTTCCACCAGGAGACTCGTTTTCTGACTTAAAATATGCCGATGACATAGTTCTACTTCGTGAAGACGCTGACAAAAGTCAGTCTCCTGACCACCTTGAGCAACAGTGTAAGTATATTCGGGATGTGATCCTCCCCCTCTAAATGCTTGCACCGGCATCTGAACTCGTGATAAGTAGTGAAGCAGTTGAGCGTGTCGACCGCTTCATTTATCTTGAGAGTCTCTTTAGCCTTAATGGTCTGCTCTCTGACACAATCTAGGCATGGAAACTGAATTATGGATTAAATTTTGCCAAGTTACGTCGTTTGTAGCGTAGGTGAAATATCCGTCTGCCAACCAAGAGATGTACAGCAGTTCGTTCCGTCCTACTATACGGGTGTGAAGTATGGTCACTACAAATGGAGGACATTCATAGGCCGCTTGTATCCGATCACAGGTGTCTTCGAAGCATCGCTTGTGCATCTTAAGACCATTAAGTAAGCAATGATGAGGTTAGGAATAAGGTACTAACTATGTACAAATGGCAAATCGATCGATGAGATAGCGAATTTTCACCAACTAAGATAGTTGTGACAAGTGTTACGTATGCCCAACCATATCCTGCCTTAACGGTAGATGTCATCTGATGTAGTAATAAATTGAAAGAAAGCTAGAGGTGGTCAAATCAAACATGGCACCAGTCCATGTGGTCATTGACGATAGGACAGGGTCATGTTACTAGACTGCCAGACTGGGCTTCGTGAGACAATCGTAACCGGTAGTTAGAGCCTTTGAATAAGATGGCTCAAAATCTTTTGCAGTGGTGCAGGTGTATTCATTCTTTGTTATACCCCGAATTCTAATAATCTCAGTTCCTCATTATCAACCTTTTTTCTCTTTTTAAATTTAGTTCACTAGGATATACTTTTGGGATCATCTTTTCGATCCCTTTTCCATTACCGATAATACCGCTACTACCTCTGCTACTTTTGGAAATCGGCTTGAGGATTTCATCCCTCTGAACTAATGAGGTATGACAACTTAAACTGATGTACTTACGTACCCCATTCTACGTTGTGACACTGATTGACTGATATCCATTTATGAATAAACTAGTAGCTACCCAAACTGTGTTTGAAGTTGGAACGATATTGATTAGCTTCTTTTTATGTTCCAATTGGAGCCTAAAGCTCAGAGGAATTATAAATTGACTAACAAACATTAGTATATCATGTCATTGAATCGGGTCATTACTATTATTGGTGGACTAGTATAACGAACTCAAGGTCATATCAGGTATTTAGTGAAAACAACAAATAATTAATCTTAAGCCAATGATTCAAATGTGTATCTTAAAATATCAATAATATTTCAGCATGCAAATGATTGGAAGAGGTCATTTCGTAGTGATCGACTAAAAATTTTAATTTTGTCTTGTTTACATTCTTTGAAACATTTTTAGAAAATAAATTATAACTGAGGTCAACACAAATATTTGTAAGTTAACCTACTTCAGGTTGAAAGAATATTTCCGGACCTAAGAAACGTTCATAACCAACATCAACAGAAAATGATGGATATTTGGCTGATTTTGACACCACATGTTGTTTAATCCATTTATCTGGTTCACTATCATATTTAGCAAATTCTTTAGGTAAATCAGGACAAACATATGAGTAGCTAAAATGAATAAATCAATGATTAATTTTGAGTTGATTAAATCATTAAAAACTGAACATTCTGTGATTAAAGTGGATTGGTAGATATGAAGAGTTCACCAAGGAGAATTGGAAAACTGTGGTTTCAAAGCAATGATGTATATGAGCTTTAGGATTCGGAGATAAATGGTTTGTGAAACTATTTCGTTCGACGGCTACAATATGACTACGCTTCCTAATGTTGCCTCAGAATCAAAGGTTTAGGCGTGGATCCCTATGGAAAGGTGATGAGGAATTCAGTGGACACCTTTCTGGTACACTTTTCAATGACGGATGCTGCTATAGAACCTAACGATCGACAGAGCCAAATGCCACCTTAAGTTCGAGGAATACAAATATTATTGGACGTCTGAATGTGTTTCTATTCCCTAATTAAACAAATTTTGACATCTAAGAATGTGAATTCCAACTATATGATCTGAAGATATTGTACTTGCCACCGAAAACTGTAATAAAATTCTAATTTGGTGCTGAACAGTGTTTTATTATATTCTAATTAATCTCAATCCTTGATAAGAACAAACTATACACAATAAGCAGTTCAAGTTAGTAGCCAGAAGACATACAACACGTACCATATGGAAGAACACATAGTTGATGATTTGAAATGATGAAGAGTAAAACTAATGATAATAAGTGTACATTTATCCTTGATGTAAAACTACAAACACGGTCATACTTTTTTCTTAGCTTATACAATTACTAAGCAAAGTAGGGTAGAAATTAGGTTTATCAAATTTAATCAATGAATTTTTAACCTTCACTTCAATTTATAAGATTTCAAAACATTGAATAATTCATCATGAGGTTATGGAAACCGATTGATTTGGTTCAGCAAATATTGAGCTGATCTAAATTTGACATCCATTGAAAACCTGAAAGTATTGAATAGTCATTTTGTCATTGTATAAGACTTCTAAACAGTGTGTATTTACAACAACGCATCCATGGATGGAACTCAGGACAATCAGTCTCACATGTCAACACTTCACCTTTAGACTATTAAGTCATCATCAAAAAGTGTACAAGTTTCATGTCACCAAACGATAAAATTGGGCGATCGTTTCCCACTGTTTTCGTTGGGTACCTTTTTCATATCCAACATGGCTGATCTTCACTGGTCATAGTTTCTTACTAAAACTCTAAAAATCAATCCTCAAAGTTGGTTTCCAATAAAATATATGATAATATTTTCATATAAAGGATTGCTTAGAAACTGTCTAATCTTTTCAATATTTTATATCATTCAATAACTTTAAGTAAATAACTAACCGTTCTTTAATTTGTTTAGCAACTTCCATACTTAATTCTGGTGGAATATTTGTTTCACGTTCTCTAAGTAAATGTTGAATAAACGAAGTAATATCACGTCCGGCTATTGGTATATGTTTAATACATGATCCAATCACATAGCCATCGACTACAGGAATAACATGTGTAACACCATCACCTGAGTCAATGACAGTTCCAGTAAGTGAACGACCACCGGTTCGATTGTAACACCATGAAGCTGATAATGCCAAAACAGCCTGTAAAATAAAAACAAATGTTAAAAATAAAAAAATTCAAAAATATACGATTGAAGTTACTCTACTAAATTAATGAAACAATGAGAATTCCGTTTGTGATGATATAAGTAGGTAGTATGGCAGGAATCTTGTTTACTGTGTATCAATAACACTGAAGAAATTCTAGCTCTCTATCCAAGTTCTTTAAAAATTCCTGTAGGTTAGCACTACTTAAAATACATCCATGAAAAAATTATAAGGTAGAAAATTAGGCTTATATAGGTGTAATGGAGGAATAATTTATTCAATGAAGAAAAATGAATTGATTAGCAGAGGTGGATAGTAGCTAATATCGAAATCCAGGACATGCGTCTCGTCCTATTTGTGACTCGTCTGTAGCTGGTTATACCTACCACATCACGACAGGAAGGGGTTAACAAAGATGAAGCCTAAAAGTAGCACACTTTACCATGTCGTAAACAACAGTGTGTCCACGAGAAGGCAACGAGTAAGACTTCCTGACAGTAACTATTATACATGCGTGGCTATATTAGAGCATTTGGAGATGGAGAGAGGATTCTCACCCACTCGGTCAAATCAAGGCATTTAGAGGCAAGTATAAAATGAGGCATCGACCTCATAAATTGAAATTTGTCAACAAAGGATCTACAGATATGCAGAACAAACAATATTGAAAAACTAAACAATATCTTACTTGTACAGCGATATAAAGACCAGGAATGTTAAATGTTTCAAACATAATTTCAGCTAAGTATTCACGATTCTCCGGTGTATTCAGTGGTGGTTCAGTCTAAGAAATGAAGAAAAAAGTCACACAATAAAGTTTGAGAAAGTGAGAAAAGAACTAAGGGGTGAAGAGAGTTTGATCCTGATGATATTGTTTTAGGACTAATCGATATGATCCCGGTGGATTTACTTAAAATAAGAAAAATACCAAGACATGGCACAAAACAACAAGGTCACTGACAACTGGAATGAGTCATGTTAGTAGGTGTATACTACCTGGTTTGGGTCCAAAAGACGATAGTAACCGATGGTTAGAGACTTTGAATGACATGGTTCAAAATCGTTTGTAACGGCGCATCTGCATCCATAGTTTATTTAATTACGAATTTCAGTCTTCTGAATTTCTCATAACCTTTATATTTCTCTTTTTATATTTATTTCACTAGGTTATACTAGATTAATTTCTTCGAACACTAATCTTCTCGACTGCCGCTAATACTTCTACTATCTCTAATACTATGGGATTTTAATTGAAAATTTTATCTCTGTGCTCATGTGGTGCTCATGATTTACATATGTACAAAGTTCTACGTTGTAGCTGACTGACTAACATAGAAATTATCAAACATGGTATTAAACTCTTAGAATTACACTTGGGAAATACTTTCATTTCCTTAGTCACTAGCTGTGGTTGTACCTATCACCGACGTACGTACGTACGAAGTTCTACATTGTAACTAACATATCACCAACGAGAATGGAACAATGCAAATTATTATAGAAGGACAAATACATAAATGTAGCTAGAAAAGTCAGCCTTCAGTAATATTTAAAACTCAGATTTTGCGTACAGTGCTTTTTCCTGAGTATTTATATTTATTTTACACATGAGTGCCTTTTATTTGACTCCTTTACTAACGAAGGATATCGACTCTAGTGAAAAACACATCCTACGTAGCTTCGTATGTTTTGTGGACTTAACATATTCGGAAAAACAATACTTGATAATTTAAATGCGACAGCGTTTATGGTCACATATATTTCATACACTCATAAATGCAGATACACGTTGAGATGCGGAGCTGATATTCGAAAGAAGTACATACATATGTGAAACTCTATCATTCAATGCAAGCCGTTTCAAATTCTAAGAAAACTTTACATGATAAAATAAAAAAATTACATACCAATAAGAAATAATGATCTTCAGGCTCTGCTCGAAGTAATTTAAAAATAAGTTGTTCCATGTAACGTTGCATTAAATCCCAATCTTCAATAATGCCATGACGAATAGGCCACTAAGTTATGGAAAAATAATAACAATAGTTCCAAATAATTGTATGGTTAAGATTGTGCCGATGTCAAGTACTCACGCATAATTTCAAGAACTTGCAATGGAGTTCTGTATCAATCCTATGACCCATTTCAGCCAACGTTAAAATGTAGGACTTGGTATGCACATCAGTTCAAGTCGCCATATTCCATTAGCACAGAGAGATGAACTTGTCAAACCAATTTCCAAAGTGATAGCGGTAGTAGCAATATTGGTGGTAATGGAAAAGATAAGGGATCGAGAATTCTATCCCAGAGGGATCATTTTAAAAAGAGAAAACAAGCCAGGAGGAATTCAGACTAGAATTTGGGAGAAGTCAAAGAATGGATGCATCTGAGCCATTGGAAACGATTTTGAGCCATGTCATACAAAGTCTCTAACAGTCGATTACTATTGTCTTGCGGATTCCAATCAGATGGTCTACACCTACTAACATGGCTCAATCCGGTTGTCAATGACTTCATGGACTGGTGCCATATTCTCATCTGGCCACCTTTGGCTTTCCTCCAGCCTACTTCAAAATCAGAAATTAACCGTTAAAGTAGATGGTTGGGCAATGTAACACATGTCACAACCACCTTAGTGGATGTAAATTCACCATCTCGTCAACCGATTTGCCATCTGTACTTAGTACCCTATTCCTAATCCCAGCACTGCTTACTCGAATCTAGTGAAAGAGAGAAGGTAAATGGATTTGTGCTGTCACCTAAAAATCCCAACCATCAGTCTTGATAATCGCATGAACCTTAAACAGGTTACAGATCTCAAAATTGTTCATTAAGTAGTTCAAGCATACACAACATAATTAAATACTGATAACTTATGAATGTCCTGTACTCCCAAGGACACCGTTGTCGTCATAAAGGATAAACTGTTGTGTAGTACATTTACTGTTTAGCTTAACTAACAAAAAAAAGGACGCATGTTAGGAAAAGTCAGTTGAGCTTTCGTCGATATCTTTGCAAATATTGACATACCAGACTTCGTGAGAGTCAATATAAGTGAAGTGATTGTTACACTAAACTACTTCACTCATTAGTTTGGGAGCTTACGAATACCAGTTCTGAAGAAACCATTTCCATTTAAAATGAGAAACTTATTTCGAACACGTCTGTATTGTTTAAGGCGATCTAAAGACCGTGATTCATTTTCGTTCCAAGGCGGTGAATGAATTTAGATACGCTGGAGAATGACTTATATGAAATTTAAAAACTACGAGATCGAGCCGGTAACGTCCAGTTTCCATCGAGAAACTGGGTTAGAAAATGAGACTAGATTAATAGGAAAACTTGAGCCCCTAAATAATGCAAAAGTAAAATTTAAAAATTCAAAGAATTATGAATGGACACTTCTTAGAGACTGGAGGCTGTTAGGTAACTAATCTGGATTCTATGTGTGATGGTAAGAATTAGCCTCATGTAAACTATTTTGCTAGAGTGAAATGCAATCAAATTATTATTGTGCTGCTCTCCTATCTTGCCAGGTTAGCGAAATTAACTACAATTTATCTAGGTACTTTGAAATCATGCTATTGCTGAATGGAAGCGAACTTTCTTGATTGTTATGCATCGATACACGTAAACATTCGATTTCTTGTGTTCCTGAGGACTCACCTTGACTGAAAAGTCATTTTTTCCTTCCAGAGCAAGCGCCTCATCTCCAATGTAAAAATTTAAGTCATCTAGGCCAGTCCCAAGTCGCCTAACTTCTCTGGTGCCAACTTTACTGTATTCTTTTACGGCGATGCAGGAAGGAATGATTGACTGGGGTTCCGTATTCCCAGCATAACCTATTTTTGAGTATCTATGTAAGATGAATAGTAACCAGTATATGAACTTTACCCTGTGCCATTATCTATTACAATAGGAGGTAGACGACCAATCATAGTCCACTATAACGCAGTGATCAAAGTTCCTACCTTAAATCCAATATCCAATATGTTTTACACGAGTTAGTATAAACCAACTGATTACTTTTCGCTCGATTCTTGACCTTTTGGTACGGTTCCAGGTATTTGGTAGTATGCAGTGAATGGGAATCTAGCCGCTCAACTGTCTAATTCTAGACAGTTGGCAATTGGTTGTGAGTTTGTATGTCCCGTGATTTGAATGAAAACATTTGTTTCAGGGCAGTAGGGTTTTCTTGGTACTAGCAGCTATCCTATTACCGGACCGGAGATCAGTTGGTCGCAATATGGAGAACAATAAGCAGAAAATTCTAGTGCGAACGAGGGGATTTCAGAACTAAGCAATATATAGATAATTTAGTTTATTAATTGGAAGTGAAGATTGTGAGAGAGGACCGAAGTGTAAGCAAGAGAGAGGAAACAGAAATAATATGCCAAATAGATTAAGTTGGTGATCTGAGGAGATGGAAATAATAACAACTATCAGATCTTAAGACATGCGTCAGGCAAAGCTTGTCCATGAGGGAGATGATAATCCGTATGTGAGTACGTATCTATCAAGTATCTTCTTAACGCTGTTCACTTTGGGGGTTGTGGTCACTTCGGCTGGGAGAGCATTCCAAGTTGCAACGACTTTTGGTGAGAAAACGTGTCCGCAGACCTGATTGTTCGCTGTTTGACGCGCAATTTCCTGAGGATTGCCTCAAGGTGAGTGCCACGGTCAATCTTGGTATGGTTTGTTCTTCAACTCTGTCACCCATTTCGCTGCTCGTCTCTGCACCCGATCCAAGAGAATTAAGTTTCCTTTAAGGAGAGGGGTTGAAACAACGTTGCCAACCTCCAGGTGTGTGTGCGCGTATGTCTTAAATAACGTTAGGAATAATTGTAGGGTGATAGTACTAAGTTGTCTCCGCATTAAGTGAAAAGTCGCATTTGCCTTGTCTGCGTCCCCCATATAGCTTGGGCCTGTGTGGAGGCTTTCGTGATTATTAAATCGAGATCGCACTCTGAGGAGACATTAGGGAGCGGACTTCCATTGAGGGTGTAAATCGTTTGCGTCATGTGGGGAAGAACGTACTTGACGTGTCACTTCTTTTGGTTGAGTTTTAAACCGTTCTTCACTGCCCATTCCTGAATGAATGTAAGGTCCTTTTGAAGCTCAGTAGAATCCTCTTTGCTTCTAATGGACCTCCAGATCTTCACATCGTTTGCGTGGATCAATGCCGGCGAGCTAGCTGTGCCTAAATATCAGGAAAAGAAGTGGACCTAAGATTATCCTCTGTTAAACTCCCGACGTTGAGACTCGCCAACTCGCGTTCACTCTATTTACCTACTATTCTCAAGGTAATTTCTGAGCCAAGATACGAGAAGGTCAGTGAAGCCCATTTCCGCAACCTTCACGATTAGGTGTGCCTGGGGTACTGTGTCAAAGGCTTTTTCAAAATCCTGAAATATTTTCCTTCCACTGGTATTTTTCGGTCATAGCAGGATGCTCAACTGTCTCATGCCGTGCGAACATTGGATGCGCACGACCTATCTTTCTGAACCCTGTGTTGAGCTTCATGGAGCATTTTATTCTTATCCATGTACTCCATCATTTGTTTGTTCACCAACCCTTCCATTACCTTTGATAGTATTGCTAGTATTGCGACTGATCTGTATCAATGTCAAATAAATGTAATCTATTTTTCACGAACTTGTACAAACCAATTCGGTTTGTTTGCCGTCCATTCTTGTTCTTTCCGCATGGTTCCGGGTGTTGAGTAGTTTCGAATAGATAGTGGTCCAGCAACTCGACTGCACTAATTGTATTTAGTTGGCAGTTATTCATGAATTTGCACGTCCCGAGATTTGAATAAGCGCGTTTGTTTCAGGGAGGTATCGTTCCTGGATATTCCGAGGAATCGTATTACCCGGCCGAAGATCATTTAGATGCAACATGGAGAATAATAAAGAGGAAATTTTAATGATCATGAGAAGAGGATTTTAGAACCAGATTTTTTATGTAGCAGAAGAAAAATATTGATTGTAGAAAGAAGTGATTCTCTATATGTGCTTTTCGAACCTGGGTGTCGAAAAGGTGTTCTAAATCTTGTTAAACTAACTTTTGGCTTCGATAATCAAATTGTTAAATGATCGCGTAGAAGACTGTAAAAGCTCCACTTCAACGTTATTATCTTGAAGTTTGCTCGAGAGTACTTTTGATAACAGTCGGTGTAATATGTTAAACTGACTTGGTACACTTCTGGAGATGAGTTATCCAAACAGTATGTCTGCCGTAATCTACTCAACTTGGAAGTTGAGTCAGATCCTCAGGGTTTTTATATTGGTATCAAGGTCTTTTTAAAGCCTAACACTGTTAGAGAGAAACAATAATTTAGATGCCACTTCTTAAGGAAGGTTATCTACACGAACAAAAAAGAAAAGAAATCCTAGCACTGAAATTTTCGGGATCTTACTACGTCATTCTCTGGCTGCAGAAAAAATGCCTTTAACATATGCGTTAAAAGGTCAATCATTGGTGACCTATACCTAACAGCCCGGTCTTATCGACGAAACTTGTACGACAGACCTTGTCAAAAGCCTTTCAGAAGCCAAGATTTATCGCATTAACCTTCATCCTGTGGTCGAAGATGGTCTCCCATCTCTCCACTACCGTCAGCAGGTCTTATAGACATTAGTGGACCATCCTGTAACCATATTGTTGGGATGAAGAAAGGTTATAGATAGCACGTCGTAATTTAGGAATCGCATGGCTTTCGATAGTAAAAGAAGCCGAAGGACCGCTAACGTGAAGGTCTCCTGTGAAAATTCTTGTGATGTTAATCAGCTTCCAAACATGCGGAACCGTTCCTTGTCGTTGCGACCTGGAGAACATCGTACTAAAAGGCGCTGCCAGGAATGAAGCTCATTCACTCTAGATGGCAAAACCAACCATATGAGAAGCGAAAGTATACTTGTGAAAATACTGTGTTTCATGACACGCTAATCCAGTTCTTCAGTCTACTAGTAGGTATCAATGACTTTAATGGACCATCAGGTCACCAGTTTTGACTTGTTGAAGAGAGACTGCATGACAGTATAGGTTTTCCAGATTTGTGACGAACCTGTCAATTGGTTTGGTCAGATACCCAATCCTATATTCGCTTAGCACCTTTTTATAATTGTTCTATGCTCTTTTAAATAGGCTTTAGTCACTCGAGAAAGTGATATCTGTTAAGTCTTCCAGTTCAAAGATTGTGACTCCTATTAATTACAGAATTTTTGTATGTTCTGAGAAGCGACTGGGAAGCAAACTAGCTTGTTGTACGTAAGGTTGTTCGCAGTACGAAACCCTAGTTAGTTTCAACATCAGTTAGGTGGTCCCTTCCCTGTCCTTCTTTCTGTAAATAATTTTTTAAAATTGGCACATTTAACCCCTTGCAATTTGAATTCATCTGGTTAGCAGTGTGTTCAGGCTCCCTTTCGCTCAAGAAACTGAAGGACTGGGAGGTCGTCTCTGAGAAATTATTCGTTTGTGAGAATAAAGTTCAAGCGTAATGGAATTCAGCCGTTCCACGGATGGGTTTCCATGTGTCTGAATAATCCTAATGAGATTGGGGAAGCGAGATTGAGCAGAATCATCAACCGCATTTTACGTATGTTCAGTGATGTAGATTTCGGGAACACTTATTTATCCTAAAATTATGATTAATAAATCCGAGTCGAAAGAAGCAGGATAATCCAAATGTGGGAGACGATATTCTAGATTGCAAAAGGTTTACCATCCTCTCCCTGTGAACTTTCCGTGCATAGATAATCAACCTACGAAGACGAGGTTTGTGGAGCATAAGGTTCCTATTGCTTCAACACTTATAATGCCCTTGACAGTCAACTAATGGAACAGCCAGTTTTGATATATGTGAACTATAATCGGGAACAAACATTTGTTGACACGAAGGGCCTTTAGAGTGAAAGTTTTTGTTTGATCAGTGAAGACTATTTTCTGTGGTCTGAATATCGTGAGTTGTATTATCAGGGTCGGTGTATGCCGATAAACTTCGCACAGTGATATTTCTCCTGTAGGTGTTTTACAAAAGTTCCTTTGCGATGACCCTGATAAGATCGTACTCTGAATATAGTATATCTGACATTATCCTTACATTCACTTCTAACTTCACCAAGTGGCTAAACAGCAGCTCATTCTCGATGCTGACACTGCTAGACAGTGTCGCTCAGCGGAGTCTTCAGTGATTCCGGCGTTTAGTTTCCTTCTACTGGGTACACTGTGCGACAGATTGTGGAATATGTTTCAGAATCTCATTCTTGTTCTTTAATGCTTTCTGAAGAAACTCGTCTTTTTAGTCCTGCAAACGGAGAGGAAGGTCACAAAGGTCCCTGACTTTCGCGATCATTTGGAAATGACCTTAAGCTCACATGGTTTTTCTGTGTTTTCATGTATATTGAAATCCTCTTTCGGCGATGTAACTGTGGTCTGGATTCTTAGTGCAGGAGTCTAAGCCATAATAAATTGCAGAGATGCGTTGAAATACAAATACAAATCATGTGTTAGTCCGTAGGCATCATGTAATTACTAACTAGTGCTGGTCAGTTTCACTGTAGCAAAGTATGCACTCTGTGCTCTCGCTAAGCTTTTTGCTCACTTCCCTTAATTCGCTTTTATTTCATATATTCTTTCAAAGAAGCTCAATAAGCTAAATTTTTTATATCAATTCCATTCAGTCAAAGACATGGAAAATGTTTCCTAGGTTACGTCCTAAGTGCTGAAGATAGTCCAGAATAGTTTGTGAGTCAGAATTCTTTGTTTTAGGTGGTAACTGCAGCCGCCATCCTCAGGTCGCTGGCCAGTTGGATCGACTGACGTCTGCTGTTGAAATAGTCATTTGAATACTGAGATAGTGGAGAAAATTTGTAGCTCAGGTGGATGACTGTGATGGAGTTTCGTTCCCTGAGATGGATATTTTGCTTTTGAAGCTTTC